GACATGGGTTTCTGGGAGCTAGAGATGTTCTGTTCTTTGCTATCATACTGGGTTACCCGAGGTGCTCCCTGCATTTATCTCTACATATCATAAGCCTCCACCAAAAAGTTAAAAAGTTCACAGAGACAGAAAGTAGATTAGCGGTTGTCAGGGGCTGGTTGGAGGAGAACTGTGGAGTGAGTGCTAATGGTTACTGAGGGTTCCTTTTGAAGTAATGAAAATGACTTGGAAATAGATACAGGTAGTGCTTGAACAATATTGTGAATGTATGAAATACCACCGAATGTACACTTTAAACTGGCTAAATTATAAATTAGATGTGTGAATTTTTTTTTTGAGACAGAATCTTGCTGTCTCCAGGCTGGAGTGCAGTGGTACAATCTTGGCTCACTGCAACCTCTGCCTCCTGGGTTCACACAGGAGGCTCACTTCTGCCTCAGCCTCCCAAGTAGCTGGGACCACAGGTGTGTGCCACCATGCCTGGCTAATTTTTGTATTTTTAGTAGAGATGGGGTTTCATCATGTTGGCCAGGATGGTTTCGATCTCTTTTTTTTTTTTTGAGACGGAGTTTCGCTCTTGTTACCCAGGCTGGAGCGCAATGGCGCGACCTTGGCTCACTGCAACCTCCGCCTCCTGGGTTCAGGCAATTCTCCTGCCTCAGCCTCCTGAGTAGCTGGGATTACAGGCACGCACCACCGTGCCCAGCTAATTTTTTGTATTTTTTTTTTTAATAGAGATGGGGTTTCACCATGTTGACCAGGATGGTCTCGATCTCTTGGCCTCGTGATCCACCCGCCTCGGCCTCCCAAAGTGCTGGGATTACAGGCTTGAGCCACCGCGCCCGGCCGGTTTCGATCTCTTGACCTTGTGATCTGCCCACCTCGGCCTCCCAAAGTGCTGGGATTACAGGCGTGAGTCACTGCACCCATCTGTGAATTTTATTTTATTGTATTTTTTTGTTTTTTTGAGACAGAGTCTCTGTATGTCCTCAGGCTGGAGTGCAGTGGCGCAAGGCGCAATCTCAGCTCACTACAGTCTCCGACTTCTTGATTCAAGGGATTCTCCTGCCTCAGCCTTCCAAGTAGCTGGGATTACAGGCACACACCACCACACCCAGCTAATTTCTGTATTTTTTTTTTTTTTTGAGATGGAGTTTCGCTTTTGTTACCCAGGCTGGAGTGCAATGGCGCGATCTCGGCTCATTGCAACCTCCGCCTCCTGGGTTCAGGCAATTCTCCTGCCTCAACCTCCTGAGTAGCTGGGATTACAGGCAGGCACCACCATGCCCAGCTGATTTTTTTGTATTTTTAGTAGAGATGGGGTTTCACCATGTTGACCAGGATGGTCTTGATCTCTTGACCTCATGATCCACCCACCTCGGCCTCCCAAAGTGCTGGAATTACAGGCGTGAGCCACCGTGCCTGGCTAATTTCTGTATTTTTAGTAGAGACAGCATTTCACCATGTTGGCCAGGATGGTCTCAATCTCCTAATCTCATGATTTGCCTACTTTGGCCTCCCAAAGTGCTGGTAATACAGGTGTGCGCCACCGCTCCTGGCCTATTTTTTTTTTTTTAACATTTTAAAAACTATAATAATGGAGACAGGGCTGGGCATAGTGGCTTACGCCCATAATCCTGGCACTTTGGGAGGCGGAGGTAGGTGGATCACCTGAGGTCAGGAGTTTGAGAACAGCCTGGAGAACATAGTGAAACCCCACCTCTACTAAAGATACAAAAAATTAGCCGGGCATGGTGGTGGATGTCATTAATCCCAGTTGCTTGGGGAGGCCGAGGCAGGAGAATCTCTTGAAGCCAGGAGGCGGAGGTTGCAGTGAGCTGAGATTTTACCATTGCACACCAGCCTGGGCAACAAGAGCAAAACTCTGTCTGAAAAAGAAAAAAAAGGCCAGGTGCAGTGGCTCATGCCTGTAATCCCACTGTAATCCCAGCACTTTGGGAGATCGAGGCAGGCAGATCACCTGAGGTCAGGAGTTCAAGACCAGTTTGGTCAACATGGTGAAACCCCATCTCTACTAAAAATACAAAAGTTAGCCCAGTGTGGTGGTGGGCACCTGAATCCCAGCTACTCAGGAGGCTGAAGCAGGAGAATCAGTTGAAACCGGGAGGTGGAGGTTGCAGTGAGCCCAGATTGTGCCATTGAACTCCAGCCTGGGTGACAGGGGCAAGACTCCATCTCAAAAAAAAAAGAAAAAGAAAAAGAAATTTGAGTGATGTAGCCATAAAGCGTCCTCAGAAAGTGGCTTTGGGGTGACACCTGTGGATGGGAAGGAGAACACACACAGGTGTGGGGTTTGGGGAAGAAAGAGGGTGAGGGTGGCTATCTTCAGGTAGGCACACAACTGGGCAGTAGGCAGTCCTCAACTGGCCTGGGTGTAGTCTGAGTGACCACTGCACATTACTACACCTATCTTTTTTTTTTTTTGAGATGGAGTTTCGCTGTTGTTACCCAGACTGGAGTGCAATGGCACGATCTTGGCTCACTACAACCTCTGCCTCCCAGGTTCAAGCAATTCCTCTGGCTCAGCCTCCCAACTCTCGCCACCACGAATAGCTAATTTTTTTTTTTTGAGACGGAGTTTCACTCTTGTTACCCAGGCTGGAGTACAATGTCACGATCTCGGCTCACTACAACCTCCGCCTCTTGGGTTCAGGCAATTCTCCTGCCTCAGCCTTCTGAGTAGCTGTGATTACAGGCACGCGCCACCGTGCCCAGCTAATTTTTTGTATTTTTAGTAGAGACGGGGTTTCACCATGTTGACCAGGATGGTCTCGATCTCTTGACCTCGTGATCCACCCACTTCGGCCTCCCAAAGTGCTGGGATTACAGGCGTGAGCCACCGCACCCGGCCTAATTTTTATATTTTAGTAGAGATGGGGTTTCACTATGTTGCCCAGGATGGTCTTGATCTCTTGACCTCCTGATTCACCTGCCTTGGCCTCCTAAAGTGCTGGGATTATAGGCATGAGCCACCATGCCTGGCTCTTTTAATCTTCTGGCCCTGGTACCCTTGTCTGCTCTAGAGACCAGGGCAGGTTTGGGTTACTCTCCAGTGTTTGGGGGACCAGTAAAGGATAGGGCTGTGGAAAGTGCTCACCAAGTATTCTTTTTTTTTTTTTTTTTGAGACAGAGTTTTGCTCTTGCTGCCCAGGCTGGAGTGCAGTGGTGCCATCTCGGCTCACTGCAACCACTGAATCCCAGGTTCAGGCGATTCTCCTGTCTCAGCTTCCCAAGAAGTTGGGATTACAGGCACATGCAACCAGGCCCCACCAATTTTCATATTTTTAGTAGAGACCGGGTTTCATCATATTGGTCAGGCTGGTCTCGAACTCCTAACCTCAGATGATCCGCCTGCCTCGGCTTCCCAAAGTGCTGGAATTAACAGGCGTGAGCCACCGTGCCCAGCCACCCCAATGATTCCTAAATGACGCCCACACTTTGCCCCGTGCATGCCAGCTTCAGCTTTTTTTTTTTTTTTTTTTTTTTTTTAACGAGACAGGGTCTCGCTTTGCCGCCCCAGACAGGAGTGCAGAGGCGCGATCATAGCTGACTGCAGTCAACCCCTGGGCCTCGATCTTCCCGCGTCAGCCTCTGCCACCAACTTTCCCTATTATCAGAGGAAGGAAGCGAGGGTCGGGGCTAGGGCCTAGTCAGGGTGGTGGGCTGGAGGGGGCGGGCTGGCTCGCGAGGCGTGGCGCCAGAAGGGGCAGGCTGGGCGTGGAGGCGGTGACTGTGCCGCGGAGGGGGCGGGCCCGGATTTGGGGGGCAGCGCGCCAGGGCTGGAACAAAGGCAGGGGCGGGGACAAAGCCCCGCGGCCCCCAGTCCCCGTCCGGAACAAAGGCCACACCCGGCCCAGCGGCCGACGTGCCCGTGCTCCCACCACGTGCGGGCACCTGGGAGCTGGGCCTGGGGAGGCTGTGACCCGTGACCCTCACGCCCCGCCCGGCTCGCCACCTTTACCTGTGTGCACTTCGAGAGTGGCGAGTGGGTTTCATGGTTGTTCGCGCCAGTCCTCGCGGCCTCCAAACATCCTCCAGAAGCTGCCACCTACCCCCCACCCCGCCGTTGTCACCTGGCCCGGAGACCTCCGGACACCAGGGACCCTGCACTGGGGGCTGAAGCCCATCCCCCGGGACCAGCCTCATGGTTTTCAACGCGCTGATAGTCCCCAGGCGGGTCTGCCTCTACCTACAGACCCTGCTTCTCCCATTAGGCAGGATCCCTCCCCTCCAGATCCTGCGTCCCTCAGACAGGATTCTCCCCACAAAGGCCTGCTTCCTTCCCTCCTTGGGACTCCCCACTGTTGAGGTTCAGTTTTCCCACCTGGAAAAGGGTCAAAGTCAGGGTAGCTGCTGACTAAAACAAGCAGAAGGGACTCCTGGGGGGGCTGGATGGGATTTCACACTCCTTGCTCTGTAGCCTCTTGTGATTTACATTTTTTGGGGCGGGGGGACCGGGCGTAGTGGCTCACACCTGTAATTTCAGCACTTTGGGAGGCCGAAGCGAGTGGATCACCTGAGATCGGAAGTTCGACAGTAGCCTGGCCAACATGGTGAAGCCCTGTCTCTACTAAAAATGCAAAAATTAGCCGGGCGTGGTAGTGAGCGCCTGTAATCCCAGCTATTCGGAAGGCTGAGGCAGGGGAATTGCTTGGACCCGGGAGGCGGAGGTTGCAGTGAGCCGAGATCGCGCCATTGCACTCCAGCCTGGGCGACACAGCAAAACAAAAACATTTTTCTCGATCTGTTGTCCAGGCTGGCGTGCAGTGGCACAGTCCCAGCTCACTGCGCCTCGGCGTCCTGGGCTAAATGGAGCCTCCCTACTCGCCTCCCAAAGTGGTGGGATTACAGGGATGAGCCATGGCGCCCGGCCGTGATCTACATTTGATTTGTGAGTTTCTGTGTTTCTCACGACTATTATTTTTTCTTTTTCTTTTTTTTTCCCCTTCACCTCCTCCCCACTCTCTGTGTTTCTCAAGTTTAATCATAACGTGGCTAGATTCCAAAAGTCAGCCTCTGCGCTCACCCAGGAGCTGCCTCCCTCCTAGTAGGATGGAGACTCTCCTCCCCTCTCCCCTGGGCACAGCCCTTCACTCGATCCTGGCCCCGCCCACCTCCCCATCGGCCCTGCCCCCTATCCCGAACTCTTAGTGACGCCGAGGCTGGAGAGACTCTAAGCGGGACGAAGAGACGCTGGTTGAGGGGTTGGTACGAACTGCCCACGCGCTTGGGCGCTCAATGGCCTCCTTCAGTGTGGTCTGGAGGCGGCGCTGAGACGGGACTCACACTCTATAAAGGTGCGCACGCCCCGCTGGCGGATTACATTGCGGCAGTGACGTCACGTATGCCCCGCCCCGCTACCATCAGAGCCCCACCGAGGTAGGGCTGGCGGTGGTGGAGGGAACCGGGGTGGGCGCTTGCGTACTGGGGGCCTTTCCCCGCACCGACCGTCCTGGGCCCCGCCCCCGGGCGTGCGGCGCCCCTTGCGCGTGCGCGGCGTCGTCGGCGCCAGTTATTTCTGTCCCGCCCCTCAGTCGCGGCTCTTTCTGCGAGCAGCGCGCGGGCGAGCGGGTGTGCTTGTGGCGCGTGGTGAGGATTTCGGCGGCGGCTGGAGAAGCGCGGGCGGCGCCTTCGTAAAGCGAGCAAGCGGCAGCTGGCCGTGTCGCAAACAGCGTCCTGCGCGCGGTGGGCAGCAGCCCAGGAGGCGCGTGGCGGCGATCGGCCTCGCGGCGGCGGCGGCGGCAGCGGCCCAGCAGTTGGCGGCGAGCGCCTCTGCGCCTGCGCGGCGGGCCCCGCGCCCCTCCTCCCCCCTGGGCGCCCCCGGCGGCGTGTGAATGGCGGCCTCGGCGGCGGCGGCCTCGGCAGCAGCGGCCTCGGCCGCCTCTGGCAGCCCCGGCCCGGGTGAGGGCTCCGCTGGCGGCGAAAAGCGCAGCACCGCCTCTTCGGCCGCAGGCTCGGCGTCGGCCTCGGCCGCGGCGTCGTCGCCCGCGGGGGGCGGTGCCGAGGCGCTGGAGCTGTTGGAGCACTGCGGCGTGTGCAGAGAGCGCCTGCGACCCGAGAGGGAGCCCCGCCTGCTGCCTTGTTTGCACTCGGCCTGTAGTGCCTGCCTAGGCCCCGCGGCGCCCGCTTCCGCCAACAGTTCGGGGGACGGCGGGGCGGCGGGAGACGGCGCAGGTAAGTACGAAGTGGTCAGGGCTCCGGCCACCCCTCCCCCACTCTCTGCCTTTGATTCCGCCTGGGTGCAGAGATGAGGATGCCACCTGGGCTAGAGGATGGGGGCTCGGACAGGGCACGGGGAGTACTTCCTGGGTTCTGCATAGCAACGTGGGTCTGGGCCGGCCGCTGAGAATGGGACATTTGACTTAAGTTGGAGAAAAAAGGCTCGGGGAGGGGAGGGGCTGGCTCGCTGCGGGATAATGGTCGGGTGGGGGGGCAGCCGGCAGGGGGATGTGGCCGGCCATATCCTGGGTGGGAACTTGTAACAGTTTCCCACATCCCTGTCTCTCGAAGTGGTGGACTGTCCCGTATGCAAGCAACAATGCTTCTCCAAAGACATCGTGGAGAATTATTTCATGCGTGACAGTGGCAGCAAGACTGCCACCGACGCCCAGGATGCGAACCAGGTGCGTCCTACCTCAGCATCCACAAAGAGGTCTCTGCTTATGGGGAGGGGACATGTGGCCAGGAGGAGCTTTGCACCAGCTCCAGGCTTGTTAACTCCCCTTTCCCAAGGCTCTGGGTGGGCTGCCTAGGCTGGGTCCAGGGACCAATCTTGATCTCGGGTTGTATTTTCTGGAATGTAAATGTGGACCTATCAGGTTGTCTTGCCTTCTCTTATCTTGTCTTTATCTGGCAGTGCTGCACTAGCTGTGAGGATAATGCCCCAGCCACCAGCTACTGTGTGGAGTGCTCGGAGCCTCTGTGTGAGACCTGTGTAGAGGCACACCAGCGGGTGAAGTACACCAAGGATCACACTGTGCGCTCTACTGGTACATGAGGCTGAGGGGGCTATTGAAGTTGCTCTCCAGTGTGTCCTCAGCTGCTTTCCTAATGTTGGTTGCATCTGGTGGATGGGTTCTAGAGTTCTCTAGGGGGTGCCACTTGAAGGGCCTGAGGGCAGAACTCCAAAAGCAGGAAAACTGGGGTTGTGGTGTGTAGTCTTCTGGGTGTAGGTGGGAGGGAACAAGAACGGGAGACAGGGGAGACCTTACTGTGCTGCAGGAGGGTATAAAGGGTTTAAGGTTACTTATCAGGGACTTCTCAGTCTTGGTGGTGAAGGGCCCAGCATGTGCAAACAGGGAAAGGCATGGTGTGAAGGGCTTACTGGGTTAGTGGTTCGCTGGCACACATGTGGTACAAGACACTGCTAGGGAAAGTGAGGCTTTGTGGATCCATGGACTATAAGTGATGATGATTGCTGGAAGTGTTTTAGGTTTGATTTGTCAGCGACTTACCCAGAGTTTGGTTTGGCATTTCCAGCTTTTTGTAGACCTACACTAGCTTTGGTTTGGAAAGGAAATTGAGAGTCTTTTGAGTCTAGCCCAGTTTTTGGCCTAGATTCCTTCCATGAGTGGCCTTTTGCTAGCCATACTGTGATTCTTCCCATCCCAGAGGATGGCATTGGTGGAAGATGGTGGCTGTGGGGCTTGAGGAACCAGGAGGGATAGGCAGGGGCTGCAGGGTGTCCTAGATTTCAGATGTTCCAGGCAAGGGTTAGGGTGCAGGAGTGGGTGGCATTGGGGAAGTCTCTTTCCCAGCTTTCGGAGGTTACTAATGTGTTGGTCTTTGAGTGGGATTATTCTGAGCTCCAAGATTCTGCTCAAGAGGGGTGTGTGACCACCGTTCTGAGGGTCCTGGTTTGACATTTCATCTTCCAGCATGAGAGGCTTTGCAAGGTTTTCTCTGGGCCCTTGGATTGTAAGAGATCCTGGTGTGGTCGGGCGTGGTGGCTCACGCCTGTAATCCCAGCACTTTGGGGAGGCCGAGGCAGGCGGATCGCGAGGTCAAGAGATCGAGACCATTCTGGCCAACATGATGAAACCCTGTCTCTACTAAAAACTGCAAAAATTTGCTGGGCTTGGTGGTGCGCGCTTGTAGTCCCAGCTACTCGGGACGCTAAGGCAGGAGAATTACTTGAACCCAGGAGGTGGAGGTTGCGGTGAGCCCAGATTGTGCCATTGCACTACAGCCTGGCGCCTGGTGACAGAGCAAGAATATGTCTCAAAAAGAGAGACCCTGGTGTTCTTTTGTCGGGGAAGAGGGAGGAGGTTAACAATGAAAAGAGAAGAAAAAAAGTCCAGGGTGGTTTATAGGCAGAATTCTGAGTATGTCTACTTGGGAGAAGTTTTCAGTAAAGGGAACTGTGAGGAAGGTGGGCAGCCCTCTTTTTCCAGAGGTTGTTACTTGTACATTGATGTCACCTTCAGAAGCTAGAAGAAGGAGATGTAATTTTCAGCTATGTTGGGGCAGAGAATTCTGGGAGCAAGGAGTTGGGCTTGCAGGCCTGTTTTCTTTCCTGGCCACACCCTCTACATCTTCCCAGTAGATGGCCCTGTGTCACAGAACAGGCAGGAAGTGAGTCCCAAGCTCAGTCTGCTTCCTGAGTTGGGGGTGGTGAAGGGCAAGGTCCAGCCTTAACTGTTCTCACTCCCCAGGGCCAGCCAAGTCTCGGGATGGTGAACGTACCGTCTATTGCAACGTACACAAGCATGAACCCCTTGTGCTTTTTTGCGAGAGCTGTGATACTCTGACCTGCCGAGACTGCCAGCTCAATGCCCACAAGGACCACCAGTGAGTCCCAAGGCATAGAGGGTGGGTGGGTGCCACCCATTCCCTAGCTCAGTGTTCAGGAACACATCTGTCTGCTCTCAGGTACCAGTTCTTAGAGGATGCAGTGAGGAACCAGCGTAAGCTCCTGGCCTCACTGGTGAAGCGCCTTGGGGACAAACATGCAACATTGCAGAAGAGCACCAAGGAGGTTCGCAGCTCGTAAGTGTGGGTTCTGGGGCTGCGCGGATGGCCTGGGCAGCAAGACTTTTCCTAGCCTGACCTGCTCTGTTCCCTAGGATCCGCCAGGTGTCTGACGTACAGAAGCGTGTGCAAGTGGATGTCAAGATGGCCATCCTGCAGATCATGAAGGAGTTGAATAAACGGGGCCGTGTGCTGGTCAACGATGCCCAGGTAAGCCTTGTCCCTGAGCCCCTTCTGTTGATGCATGATGCTCTCCAGGGTGAGGAGCCCTCCCTGTGCTGTCTGCCTTCTTTGCTTACCTCATACACTTTTCCATCTGCAGAAGGTGACTGAGGGGCAGCAGGAGCGCCTGGAACGGCAGCACTGGACCATGACCAAGATCCAGAAGCACCAGGAGCACATCCTGCGCTTTGCTTCTTGGGCTCTGGAGAGTGACAACAACACAGCCCTCCTGCTTTCTAAGAAGTTGGTGGGTACTGGTGGGCTCCTGGCCGGTGGGTTCCAGTCAGGTGGCTCCCAATACCTCACATCCCTGTTTGTTGTTGGTGTGTTCATTCTTCTCTGCCTTTCATTCCCAACCAGATCTACTTCCAGCTCCACCGGGCCCTCAAGATGATTGTGGATCCTGTGGAGCCACATGGCGAGATGAAGTTTCAGTGGGACCTCAATGCCTGGACCAAGAGTGCCGAGGCCTTCGGTGGGTCCCAGCTCTACCTTGCTCTACCTTGTTCATACCCCACGTGCTGCACCTACTTACGTTTCTCTCTTTGTGCAGGCAAGATTGTGGCAGAGCGTCCTGGCACTAACTCGACAGGCCCTGCACCCATGGCTCCTCCAAGAGCCCCAGGGCCACTGAGCAAGCAGGGCTCTGGCAGCAGCCAGGTGAACAGGAGAGAGGACCCAGGGAGGGGTGGGCAGGGAATGGGGTCCAGTAGGGTAGTAGGGTTCCTGTTCCACTGAGGCAGAGGGCTCTGCTTTGTTCACAGCCTATGGAGGTGCAGGAAGGCTATGGCTTTGGGTCAGGTGAGTGGGTCTGCCTGGTGGCTGGGGAAGGGCCTCGGTGCTGTTTCTACCTCAACCTGCCAGTCTTTCTCTATTTTTCGAAGCAGATGATCCCTACTCAAGTGCAGAGCCCCATGTATCAGGTGTGAAACGGTGAGCATGGCAGTTCCCCTGGGGTGGAGAATGAATGGGTGGAGGTGGATGGAGGGTGAGGGTGTGCTTATGCCAGGTTTCTGCACCTGTAGGTCCCGCTCAGGTGAGGGCGAGGTGAGCGGCCTTATGCGCAAGGTCCCACGAGTGAGCCTTGAACGCCTGGACCTGGACCTCACTGCTGACAGCCAGCCACCCGTCTTCAAGGTCTTCCCAGGCAGTACCACTGAGGACTACAACCTTATTGTTATTGAACGTGGCGCTGCTGCTGCAGCTGCCGGCCAGCCAGGGACTGTGCCTGCAGGAACCCCTGGGGCCCCACCCCTGGCTGGCCTGGCCATTGTCAAGGTATGCCTGTCCCAAAGAACTGTACCTGTGGAATGAAGCCTATAGTCCAGGTCTGGACACCATTAAACACCCCGTATCACCACCTTGCAGGAGGAGGAGACGGAGGCTGCCATTGGAGCCCCTCCTGCTGCCACTGAGGGCCCTGAGACCAAACCTGTGCTTATGGCTCTTCCGGAGGGTCCTGGTACCGAGGGTCCTCGCCTGGCCTCACCCAGTGGCAGCACCAGCTCAGGGCTGGAGGTGGTGGCTCCTGAAGGTACCTCAGCTCCAGGTGGTGGTCCGGGAACCCTGGATGACAGTGCCACCATTTGCCGTGTCTGCCAGAAGGCAGGTGATCTGGTCATGTGCAACCAGTGTGAGTTTTGTTTCCACCTGGACTGCCACCTGCCTGCCTTGCAGGATGTGCCAGGGTGAGTGTGAGGCTGGCAGGGCTCTAGTCTGGTGTGGGCTCTCTGGACAGGATCATGTGCGGACCCTTACTCTCTCAACCCTAGGGAGGAGTGGAGCTGCTCACTCTGCCATGTTCTCCCTGACCTGAAGGAGGAGGATGGCAGCCTCAGCCTGGATGGTGCAGACAGCACTGGCGTGGTGGCCAAGCTCTCGCCAGTCAACCAGCGGGTGAGGGCTGGGGTTACTTAGGTGGGGTTGACCAGAAAGGCTTTATAGGTGCTGCCCAGAGCTGTTAAATCCCTTATACCATCTGTAGAAATGTGAGCGTGTACTGCTGGCCCTGTTCTGTCATGAGCCCTGCCGCCCCCTGCATCAGCTGGCTACCGACTCCACCTTCTCCCTGGTGAGTCCCTAGAAATGGAGAGGGGAAGGGGGTGGTGCCTGGCAGGTCTCACCCTCAACCTGTGCATGTATGTGTGATCTCTGCCTGCAGGACCAGCCTGGTGGCACCCTGGATCTGACCCTGATCCGTGCCCGTCTCCAGGAGAAGTTGTCACCTCCCTATAGCTCCCCACAGGAGTTTGCGCAGGATGTGGGCCGCATGTTCAAGCAATTCAACAAGTTAACTGAGGTGAGCCAGTGGAATGGAGGGGCTGTGGGCAGGGGGAGATGTGAAGGAAAGAACTAGGACCCGTTCATCCAGTACATTCCTGCTTGGCCTAGGACAAGGCAGACGTGCAGTCCATCATCGGCCTGCAGCGCTTCTTCGAGACGCGCATGAACGAGGCCTTCGGCGACACCAAGTTCTCTGCTGTGCTGGTGGAGCCCCCGCCGATGAGCCTGCCTGGTGCTGGCCTGAGTTCCCAGGAGCTGTCTGGTGGCCCTGGTGATGGCCCGTGAGGCTGCAGCCCCCATTGCCAGCCCAGCCTGGCTCTCTTCTGTCCTGTCACCCCACCCCCACTCCCCTGGTGGCCTGACTCCCACTCCTTGGTGGCCCCATCCCCGAGTTCCTCACGATAATGGTTTTTACTTCTGTGGATTTAATAAAAACTTCACCAGTTCCTCAGGCCTTGGCTGGTTGGGGGGCTGTGGTCCTGGGGCCTGGTTTATTGACTGTATCTACTAGTCAGCTTTATCAAGCACTGGTGGCCCTGGTGGGGGTGGTCTTGTCCTCAGCCTACCTGAACCCCCATCTGTATGGATGCCTAGGGAGTGGGGAAGAGTGCTTCCTGGCCCTTTCTGGCTGTGGGGAGGGTCACACAGCAAAGGTACACACTAGAGGCTTGTTGGGTACTCTGTGGGATACCAGCTAGGTGTGGGCTGACCTGCAGCCCTGTGTAGACTCAGCCTCAGGTGTAGCACGGCCACTCTACTGAGTGGTTGTTAAGCTTTGGTGCCATAGTTTCTCATCCTTGGATGGTACCATAGTGAACTGACACTTTCCAAATGTGGTTTTGTTCCTGTCCCCCTTTGCTAAGGCCGCTTAACATCATTCCTGATTGAGCTATAGTTGAGCCCTGTGAATCCCAAGGCTGCCCCCTTGCCTCTGTTGGTTGGTTTGGACTGTCCTCACATCACTGGACCAAAATAGTTTTGGGCACTACAGCCTGGAAGATGGGAGGCCTGGACTCTAGAGATCCTCTCAGGCTGTTTGGGGTGTCTACTATCTTGGGAGAGGTGACAGCAGGACCCACAGCTCACCTTAAGCTCTGAACCCCTGAAAATCTCAGGTGGACTTTGCTTGTCCACCCCTGCCCCAAACCTCAATCCCTTAGCCTTGTGCCAAGTGCTCTTCAGTGATAACTGCCCTCCCAGGGATCCCAGCCAAAAGTCACATGGGCTTAGAGACTAGTGTCCAATCTCCTTTATTACAGAGGAGTTCTGGTAAAAGATCCTGGGCATCCTGGTCCTCTTGGGAGTGGCAGGGGGAATTCAGTCTCGCCTCAGGTTCTTAAGCCGCTCCTCCAGGTCTGCATCAGCATCAGCTAGAGCTGAGGCTGTGGCCTCTGCTTTTTTCCCACCAGCAGCCACACTGAGGGAGCCCCCAGTTGAGGGAAGGTCTGCAGAGAAAGTGGAGGTTAGAGCAGGGGGATTCAGGCTGAGTGGAGTGGAGGGGAGTAATGCAGGGAAAGGGAGGGCTTGGGGCTGTGGCTGGGCACTGGGTGGGAAATGGGGCCCAGGATTTGGAGCACTCACTCGACAGCTCATCTGTCAGGCTAAGTCCCAGCTCATCCAGGACCTGGGACACAACAGCATCACTAGGGAAGAGATGTAACTCAATGAGGGCTAAGCAATATTCCACGAGGGCCAGACAAACATCTCTACCCTTCCAGTTTCTCCATACCTCTCCTCTTCGTCTTCCTCATCACCCATGGCATCATCGATGGCATCATTCATCATCTCCTCCTTCATATCCATGATCTCTGCCTGCCGCTCAAACTCCATCATGATCTTCTGGATCTGGGGCAATTTCAGCTGCAAGTGGGAGGAGTGTGAGTGTGGTCCGTACGGGTCAGTGGGAGTGGGCAGGGGAATTGGGAAAAGCGCACCTGTCTGTTCATGGTGCCCATGGCCTTGGTGACACCCTTCATGGCTTGTGCCATCGAGTTGTTGGACTTGAGTGTCTGGATCTTGAGGGACACAGCCTGGATGTTGGCCCGCATCAATACAAACTTGCGCACGTAGCGCCGGGTGCGCACCAAGTCTTTCGCCATGATGCGAACGGCATCCTGCAGAGCAGACGAGGGTGTGAAGGGCACAGGAATGGGATTATACTGTGCTTCTTGACACCCCATTAGTTGGTGGTTGCTTCCCCCCATTTGCAATTCCACCATTCTCACTGAAGTCTCCAGACTTGTGGCTAACCCAAAGGTTACTGGTCCCTCCCTCCTGACCTAACTCTGCCTCGGGCCACCAACTTCCTGGACTCTTTTGTAAGGCCCTTCTCACTTCTCTTGATCTGTAAATGGTAAAAGAAAGGCCCCAGGCTCACTCCTTAGGGGTCCTTTTGCCTCCATGTTTTGAGTCATTCTTTTGACTTAGACAAAGGATCTGCTTCTTCCTCCACCTAATACAAACCCATACCTCAAACTATCCAGAACCACATACAAACCAATCTGAGGCTCAGCTTTTGATTTCCTCTCCAAACATATTGCTTGCCCATCCCAGTAAATGGTATTTTCTCAAACTCCTCACCCATCAAAGGCTCTGTTCCTCCTTCATGCTCTCCCTACTGGTTCTGGCTATTTCTTACCAGCCTCTTGGCCATAGTTCATCATCCTCTTTTTTTCTGAGATGGAGTCTTGCTCTGTTGCCTAGGCTGGAGTGCAGTGGCACAATGTTGGCTCACTGCGACCTCTTGCCTCCCGGGTTCAAGCGATTCTCCTGCCTCAGCCTCTCGAGTAGCTGGGATTACAGGCATGCACTACCACGCCTGGCTAATTTTTGGTAGAGCAGGGTATCACCACGTTGGCAAGGCTGGTCTCGAACTCCTGACCTCAGGTGGTCCACCCACTTCAGCCTCCCAAAATGCTCGGATTACATGCATGAGCTGCTGCACACAGCTAGATTATCGTTAATAGTTACTAACCCTTTTTTTTTTCTTTGAGACAGAATCTTGCTCTGTCACCCAGGCTAGCGTGCAGTGGTGCGATCTTGGCTTACTGGAACCTCTGCCTGCCCGGTTCAAGCAATTATCCTGCCTCAGCCTTTCAAGTAGCTGGGATTACAGGCATGAGCCACCACGCCCAGCTACTTTTTATATTTTCAGTAGAGATGGGTTTCACCACGTTGGCCGGGCTGTTCTCGAACTTCTGACGTCAGGTGATCAGCCCACTTCAGCCTCCCAAAGTGCTGGGAGCCACTGCACCCACAACCTTAATCCCTAACCTTTCAACTCAGCTCCCACTGTGGCCCACAATTCTGAATTGTCTGGCCCATGCCCAACTCTTGAAGCTCACCTGTCATCTCCCATTTTGCCGTCTGTCTGCCTGATACATTCCCTTCCCAGATCTGTAGGCTCACTCTCATCACTCAAGCCTTAGTTCTCATACCAATTCCTTGTAGGCAGCCTTCCAGACCTCCAAACTAGGGTGGCCCTGCTGACCTTTCACTGCACTCGTTTTGCTGAAAGCACCTGTGTTTGGGTGTCTGGTCTGTTTTGTTCACTGTTGTTACAGCCGTGCCTGACTGACAGCAACTTGCCCCTGACCACCCACACTCACCATCTGGCCTTGCTTGGCCATCTTCTTAATGTCTGCAATGATTTTCTTCTCCTGGGTCTCTAGCTTCTGTCGCTCACGGTCCAGCTCCCGCATGGCACGGTTTAGGGCCCTCTGGTTCTGCCGCAGTAACTCCTCTGGTGTCTTCCGGCGCCCGAACAACAGGTCCATGGTGGCAGGAGCCCACTGGCAGGCCTGAGACAGATGTGAGGCCCACTTGTAGGGCAAGGGGCCGGGAAGGAGGGCAAGAAGCAGAAGAGGGTCACGGGAACTTTGCCAAATGGGAAGGGGCTAATGGAGACTGGAGGCACGAATAAGGGGCCAAAAGGGAGCAGCTGAGAACACTGGGACTGTCCCGGGGACACATAAAGGGGGACAGGTAGAGCTGAAAATTATCCATCATGTGCTGACCCAAGACCCTCCATCACCATGCTCCCACAGAAGTTAAGGCTTGCAAGTTCAGCTTCCCTCTCTAGCCCCATGGGTGAGGCCCTGGAGTCGCTGATAGACTGAGCAGAGGGCGACGCCAGTCGGCGCACTGGTGTTTTTGGGACCCCGAGGACAGGGCAATTGTGGGGGCTCTGATAGAGGACAGGATAGGCGAGACCCTAAGTACCAAGAACAGGTGAATGTGGGGCTGTGAAGCTTCGGACAAGGCATTGGGATGTGAATGACCCTGAATGTTGAGGGAGACGGCTGGGGGCGCTGGGGCATCCAGCACACCGAGGATGGGATGATGGAAGCTGGGTCGCAGTATACACCGAGGACGGAGAGTCAGTGGGCCCGGCACCGAGGCAAGGTGGTGGTAGAAACCTCGATGATGAAGACAGGGTCCCAGGGAGAAGGGAGGCACCAGACACCCGGGCGAGTAGAAGGCCTCGTACGCTGCCGCCCGCACGCCCGCCCGGGATTCACGGTGCAACAGGGGCCACTCACCGGAGTTGAGACGGGGACCCGCTTCCGCTTCCGGGTCACGCTTCTTTTTCTCGGATCCCCCGCTTACCCCTCAACTAAGGCCCCTCGGTTCTGTCGCCTCCGCCGCCGTTTCCGGATTAAACGACGTGACGTAACACGCCTCGCCCGCACCCGGAAGGCTGGGAGGCTTCCAGAGCGCGCGTGCGCACTCGCCCCGGATAGGGCCAGTGTCCGAGCGCATGCGCAACAGCTCCCGTTCCCTCCGCGCCTCGGAAGGTGTTTTATGTTTGACTCCCGTCCGAGTGACCCAAGCCTGTACCAGGGTGGGCGCTCAGGCGAAGGTGGTGCATCTTTGGCCGATTTCCACCCAGTCTACACCTGAGGACCCAGCTTATCCGTAAGACCCCGACTTCTGCCTGAGGTTTCAGATAGAAGAGCCACAGGAGGCTTCTCCTCCTCGGTGGGCCCACCCATACAAGGGGCAGAGCTAGAGATGGCTTGCCCTTCCACTGTGCCGGCCTCTTGGCCAGGAAGCCAGAGACCACTGGATCCTGACTACGCTTCTCATCCTAGAGTGGGCTTCATCCCAACCAACCCGAGGCTCAGGCCTGGTAACCCCACCAACTCCAGAGCTGCCCAGGCACTGGGCATTCTGTTGTAGGGTGCTCCAATGCCACCTGTTAATACACGTTCCACCACCCCCCAGCTTTGCAGACCCTAGTGGACCGCAGCTGCCCCTCCAACCCCATAGAAGTAAGAAGCAGAGGCCATGCAGTAACATTCCCCTTTAATAGCCTGGTGGGACCTCCAGAGGTGGAGGGGTGGGTTGCCTGGGCCCAGCTACCCAGGCCCCTTGCCCACCCACTCCACAGCCCAGAGTGGGGGCTGAACAAACACCCAGCAGGGGGCTAGACAAGCCAATTCATTTCCCATTGCTGAGTGGGTCGGGGGAGGCAACACCGACCTTAATCACATGGTGGTTTAAAAAAAAAAAACAAACTAGGGGCAGGTAGCAGGAAGGGGAGGCAAGGCCAAGGCAGGGAATTCCCCCACCGGCTGCCCCCCAACCCCCTGCCGGTGGCCCCCAATAAATATTTGCAGGGGACGCCACGGCTTGTGGCCGTGGCGGGGGTGGGTGTGCGCCAACCCTATTTCAGGCAGCGCTCGAAGTAGGTGGAGCCGATGTAGCCACCCCGCATGGAACGCTGCACGTTCTGCTCAAACAGCCGCCGGTTGTTCTGCAGGACCTCTGCGGCCTCCTTGTTCAGTGGGTCCTCGGGGTTGGGCTCCTGTGGCCAGTACAGGTGGGGTCAACAGGCCAGAGAGACAGAAGACCGATCTCCCCAAACCCAACCACCTATTCCTACTCACCAAGAAGAGATACTGCAGGCCATAAATTATGGAGTTTATCGTAAGGACTGGCTTCCAGTCCTCTCTGTGGACAGAGAGCATCAGGGTCAGGGCTTGGTGAGTGGGAGATTGCCATAGGCCCCTCTGATATTGGACAGGTCAGATCCAGGGCATAGGAGAGTGAGGATGTGGGAGACTGGGAGGGAGGGTGTGGAGCAGGCCAGGACAGGGAGAAAACCAAGGTCAGGCCATGAGGAAGATGACTGGGAAATGAAGAAACCACAGACAACAAAGGGGTGGGTAGGCACAGAGACTGATGTAGTGCCCAGAAGACCATGAGGGGGGTATGACAGGCAGGGCTGGGGAAGGCAGTAGAGGGCCAGTGCCCTCACCTGAGGATGTTGAGGCAGACGTTGCCCTCGAGGTCAATGTTGGGATGATAGACCATTGTCTCACACTTCACCTTGGGGGGATCATGCGGATAACCCTGGCCCACCTGGCTCCAGGAAAAGAAAAGGGAGATGGATTGGTGCCTGGAAGGGCCTCAGCTGCTGCCTCCTCAGTCCAGGCAGCCATCCCTGCCCACCTGGGACTCACCTTAAAACTGAACACAAACTTCCCACTCTTGTAGAAGCCCTGGGAGGGAAAGGGGGAGAAGAAGATTTTAGGGTTCAATCCTGTGGGGCCTGACAGAACATGTCTCCGTCCTCTCAGTGGGGACACTCTTGATCTGCTTCTGTGAATCCAGCCATATGCACCCTCACCTCATCAGGACAGATGACCAGCTTGAAGTTGAGGAGGTCGTCTGGATCTGAGAAGCTGATATCACACGTCTTGGGCAGGTTCAGCTCGTTTATGTCTGGGTTTGGGCAGCAGAGAGTTGGGGAAAGAAAGGGGGAGGGAGAAAGAGGGAGGGGGAAAAAGTGACAAAGAGGGAGACAGCAGGACACTTCGGGCAGGTGTTGTCAGCACAGCCCCTATGGCCTCCTCCTGGACCCCCAAGCCTCTGTCCTGGGCTGTGCTCCACACCTCCAGCCCTCTCCCTTCTCCTGTTTGGCTCTTGTGGATATATGGCATACCCCAAACAGGTATGTTCAGTCTGCGTGTCCCAACTCCTGGCCCAGGGTAAACGCCCAATTTTCTGCATCCATAGCTCCCAAATGCTCCCGCTCCAAATATCCTCTGACCACCCTGAATCCCAGGCTCCCCATCCAAGATGTTCCTACCTGTCCACCCAAAGTCAAGGGTCCTGCCTACCCTCACCAATTTTCAGTCCTCACTGTCCTTTTTCTCTGAGAGAGAAAAAGGCCTTCTTCCCACCTGACCCCCACACTCTCAAGTCCCCAAACCCTCATCACCCTAGCCCACTCCCTCTGACTCCGAGGTTCACAGCACAATAGGCTAAATTTCTTCTCACCCCTGTCTCCAATCCCTGGTAGTCACTAACCTTCTCTCCACCACCTGTCACCCCATACCCCAAATTGCTGTGACTCTGAGGCCCATGAGTTTCGGGTCCTCCAACCTAGTCCACCCGTCTGACTCTTGAGATACACGGAGTCTTCTCCCATTCATATCCCCAGCCCCTGGCCTCTACTATCCCTCTCTCCTCCTGTCATCCCAAACCCAAGTTCCCGTCTAACCCCCAGACTCTCGAGTCCCCAGCTCCTCCACTCCACTGCCTGACTCTGAGATTCCGGGTCCCTCGTACCAGACACAGGCCTTCCTAATATCCTAAACCACCACACACTGGGCCCCTATCTCTGACCCCCCTCCCCGTGACTGCATGACCCCAACCCTCAAGACCTGACCACCGACCCGCTACACTAGGGGCCCTCCACCTCTGACCCTCGGCGATCGCATGATCCCCTCCTGACGCCCACATCACCCAGCCTCAGGCCCTGAACTCCGACTCTGGCTCCAGCCCCATCCCCTGACCCCCTACCCTTCTGGATCCGCAGCTGCGCCGCCGACGCCTTCTTGCTGCTGCCCTTGGTGCCGCCTGCCGACTCCTCCTCCTTCTTCTGCTGCTTCAGCGAGAACAGCTTGATCATCCTGCCGCCGCCGCCGCCGCTGCCGCCGCCGCGGGGCCCGGGACCCCGGCCACCCGGCCTCCCGCCGCCGCCCGCGTCGCCTCTGCTCCTCGGACCCGCCGCTGCGGCCTCCGCGGCTCTCGCCACCCGCCCGGCCTGCCGCGCCGCTCTGCTCTGCTCCGCGCCCACCGCGCGGCCCGACTCGGCTCCCGTAGTCCGGCTCTGGCCTGGCTTGGAGTCTCGGGCTCGAACGGCAGCGCTCGGCCAAACTCGGGTGTTCTCGGGCCGCCCGGCCCCGCCCCTATCGCCCCCGGCTGCTCCTTCCTTGCCCTCGCCCGCTCTGGTCTCAGGCCCCGCCGCAGCTGCGGACTCTGGTTTCCCCCGGCCGCGCCGTTTGGCCGCTCAGCTGATCCGTCCGCGAGGGAGCTGCGGCTCGGGGTGGGAGGAGGACGGGGCAGCCGCGGTGACGGGGGCTGAGTACTGAAGGATCGGTTTCCGCGGCAGCAGCGGCTTTAGCGCGGAGGTCGGTAACGGCCTCGGGCGCCCCGCCGCTTCGGATATTTCCGCCGCCTGTCCGCTTTGGGTCTTCCCGCCCGGCCTGCGTTGTGCGCCTGCGCAGCCGCGGCAAACTCGCGTTGCTCAGGGATGGAGTTTGGGGTTCGGCCTCCTTCGGCTGGATTCGGGTATTTCCGTTCTTGGAGTTGATGCTTCGGCTGCCCGGCGGGTCACTTCCGGTGACTCTAGCGGGGTCGGGCAGGAAGTGTGGTTAGCCGCCATCTTTGAGTGGGGCAGACGTGGGGTGTTTCGCTCGCGGTCACTTCATCCTATGTTGTACTTGTGCAGAGCGCGGCGCGGGTGGGTCAGAGCCTTTGACCCCATGGGTCACAGACAAAGGCAGGGTGATCGCGGCGAGACTCTGAGTGAGACTAGAGGCGTTACCCAGAGGGTGCGAGGTCGAGCACCTTCATTGTCCCATCGCAAACCCAAAGATCCCAGTTCCTGGAGATTCTGATTGAGGTAAACTAACAAAACATGTATTGTGCCAGATGGTGGTAAGCACTCTGGAGGGTTAAGGTGGTGTAGAGGAAGACCTGTCGGGCTGGACACTTGGGGAACGCGATGTGGGGGCGGAGCCGGGCAGCTCTGGGAGTGGGCCCCCAATTCCAGCAGAGACGCACTGCGGTCTCACGGCTTTCAACCCACTATCTGAAAAAGGGGATATAGGCGGGAGTCAGCTTCCCATCCAATCGCAGCTCAGTGTGTCTGGGAGGGCGGGAGGAAACAGAACCCTGCGGGTCAGCCACTTCCGCCGTCACCACGGAAACCATCGTGCTCGCGAGCGCTTGGTGTGGTGGCACTTGCCTGCGGAGGGGCCCAGGCGCCACCCCTCTGATTCTGCAGCTCCTCGCCCAGGAGTGGTCTCTGGCCAAGGGTGGCTTGTCTGCTTTCCCTGAGGCCACGCCTCCAGCCTTGTGGGTTGGGGTGACTAGAAGCAGCAGGGGAAAGTCTGGCTGCACCCCTGGAAGAAGCTTGGACAACAAGCCTTGAGTCTTAGTTCCTTGAAATGTCCAGGGCCAAGGCTAGCCCGATACCTAGCCAGAGTGAGACCTTGACTGGGGTTTAAGGTTCAAGCTGGACCCTGCTGCACATAGACCCCCTTTGAAACTGCTTTCCACCCTGTGTTACCTGCACCCAAGTCACCCGCCGGAGGGGTGTGTGTGTGTGTGTGGGGGGGTGCTATGTGAAGGACCTGGCCAATGGGATGAAAGGGGAAGATGGCTGGGCCAAAATAGGCAATGGCACTGGGTCCCGGAGATGCTGTCCTGAAGCTTGCAGTATGCTCAACCTGCGCTTTTAGCATCTGTCCACTTTCACCTAAGCTGCTGAATCCACTCCTGACTGAAACCTTCCAGTGTGCGTGAGGCCAGGGCGGGAGAAGACTTCAACTCTAGTGATGGGAATGATTACCACAGGTCAGGGAAAGTGGCCCAGAGCCTGCAGCCTTTGCTTCCCAGCCTGGCTGGGGTTCCATCTGCGGCATCCTACACCCTCATCGCCTGCTGGTTGTAAACACAAGAACAGGGAAGTCCTGAAAAATCTGAATTGCCAGGTAAAATCTTCCAGTTTTTAAACCTAGGAAATAGTTTCCTAGGTGTAAAGGAGTTTTACAAAGACATCCTAAGGCAGAATCTGGATTACCAGGTATCAGTTTGCTCCTGCTCGATCATATGATGTTGGTTGGCTAGGGAGAATATGGCCTGTCTGGGTCCTCCCCTGCGGGTTGGCTTGGCCCATACCCCAGGGGGTAGCCATAACAAGGTGGGGAGGGGAGCATGCAGGTTGGAAATATGGAAGTTTAGGCACAGTACCACCCCCAAACCTGGGGGCTGGCAGATCCAAGTGGGATCCTGGGCTCCCAACTGTAAGAAGTGCTGTGATCCCACTGTTTCCCTTTGTTCCTCTAAGGGTGAGATGCTGAATGTCCCCATGGGTACAACTCTTCAGGGGCTGCTCCCACCGATGGTAGAAAGCCTTGGCTGCTCATGACCACTGCAAGGAGTAGAGTGCTGCTAGGGTGAGGGTAACTGGACAGCTGAGCTAGGGTGGGAGAGGTAGTATCATGGGAATCATCAACACTGACTTGGAGCAAGGAGGACTGGTGGTCTTGGGAGGCTGGTAACCTCCCTGAGGATTGACTGTTCTCCCAACCCTTGGAGGCCCCAGTCTTAGTATCAAGGGAAAATTCCGTGAGATGGCAGGGCTACGCTCCAGACCTGCCTACCTAGGCATCACTGTGCAGGGCAGAGATCTTACAAACACCCCTCTTCACCTGCAGCTGTTAGGGGCAGACTGGAACGGGTTGGGAAGGGAGAAAAGAATAGGGCAGCAGCACCTCTTCTGGCAACAGCAGGTGCTTCCAGTAGTAGTAGTTGTTTTTTTGAGACAGTTTCGCTGTTGTTACCCAGATTGGAGTGCAATGGCACGATCTGGGCTCACTGCAACCTCTGCCTCCTGGGTTCAAGCAATTCTCCCGCCTCAGCCTCCCGAGTAGCTGGGACTATAGGTGTGCACCACCATGCCCAGCTAATTTTTGTATTTTTAGTAGAGACGGGGTTTCACCCTGTTGACCAGGCTGGTCGATCTCTTGATTGGCCTCCCAAAGTGCTGGGATTATAGGTGTGAGCCACCGCGCCCGGCCCAGGAGTAGTTTTTATGTGCCTGTCAGAACCAGGCTCACTGGGCCCCTTGGAGACACCCACACCAGTGCGTCCTCTTCATGAGTCTCCTAGGCCTATGGGGCACCCTTCTGAGACCAGAGACCTCCAGACCAGCTGAACAGTACTCCCTCACAACTCTGGGTCCTAGGCCCACAGGGTGTCCCTGCCAGCTAAGAGACGCCAGGACCAGCTCAGCAGTGCACACCATCGCAGCACTGTGGGGGTTGGAGGGTGGGCAATGTGGCTGGAGGTGGGCAATGAAGGACCGCACAGTTGGGGAGGCACTGAGTGGGTGAGTATCCAGTTTCCATCTACGGTTTATTGAACACCTACAGGGGCCAAGCCCTTATGAGTATAAGCTTGGTGGACCTGCTTATACTTATGTAATCGCCAGCCTCGCAACCTCCAGGTGAAGTAGGACCACTGCGGACACAGTGCATCCTGGCTGGAGCTACTCGGTGCTGTGGACACGCTGGTGCTGGATAAGCTTGGTGCTCTGGTGGAAGCGGCGGCCACATTCCTGGCAAGCAAAGGGCTTCTCTCGTCGGTGGGTGCGCAGATGCTGTGTGAGTGTGGGCCGCTGGCGGAAGGCCTTGCCACACTCAGGGCACGTGTAGGGCCGTTCGCCTGTGTGGATGCGCCGATGTTGGGTGAGGTTGGCGTGCTGCCGAAAGCTCTGGCCGCACTCAGGGCAGACGAAGGGCCGTTCACCTGTGTGGATGCGCTGGTGCTCCGTGAGCCGCGAGACCTGCGTGAAGCCCAGGCCGCACTCGCCGCAGTGGTAGGGCTTCTCGCCGGTGTGTGTCCTTTGATGACGCGTGAGCTTGAGGCGCTGGCTGAAGCGCTGGCCACACTCGGGGCAGGCAAAGGGTTTCTCGCCCGTGTGTACGCGCAGGTGCTGCGTGAGCGTGGGCCGCTGGCGGAAGGCCTTGCCGCACTCGGCGCAGGCGAAGGGCCGCTCCCCGGTGTGGATGCGCCGGTGCTGCGTGAGGTTAGAGCGCTGCCGGAAGCTCTGGCCGCACTCCGCACAGGCGAACGGCCGCTCGCCGCTGTGCACGCGCCGGTGCTGCAGCAGTACTGAGCGGCGGCCGAAGCGCTCGCCGCACTCAACGCAGCCAAAGGACTTGTCGCCCGTGTGCACGGCCTGGTGCTCCAGCAGCACGGCGCGCCTTGCAAAGCTCTCGCGGCACTCGCTGCACGGAAAGGGGCCGGGAGGCTCGGGCACGCCAGGAGGGGCTGGGGGCGTAGCGCCAGGGCCCGGGGGGTCGCCGTGGATGCGCTGGTGCTGCAGCAGGTTGGAACGCTGCCGGAAGCTCTGGCCGCACTCAGCGCAACGGAAAGGCTGTTCGCCCGTGTGCACTCGCCGATGCTCTTCCAGGCGCGCGCTGCGCACGAAGCCCTGGCCACAGTCGCCACACACGAACGGCCGCTCCTCGGTGTGCGTAAGCTGGTGGCGCAGCAGGTGTGAGCTGCGGCTGAAGCTGCGGCCGCACTCACTGCACACGAATGGTCGCTCACCCGTGTGGATCTTCTGGTGCCTCAGCAGGTTGCTGCGTTGGCTAAATACCTTGCCACACACATCGCAACGGCCGCCCCTAACCGCTCCACCCCCAGTGCTGGGGCGGCCCCGGCTCCGGCCCCTGGGGGCGCGCCAGCGGGTGGTGACCAGAGCTGGGCCCACACCCCGGCAGGGATCCTCGTCCGTGGGGTCCTGCTCACCTCTCAGATCGCTGGGGAGCACAAGCGCATGCGCAAAGCCACCTTCGCAGGAGGGTGATTGGATCTGGCCAGAAAGGCCAGCCATGCCGAGGTCCCAGGGGATGTGGAGGTGGGGGCTTACACTACCTGGACCTGAGGAGATGCTGTCCAGCTGCAGCGCAAACCCTGCATGCACAAGGGGACCACTCATTCATGACAGAATGCCCACCGCGCCCGGACCCACTTCAGCCCTGGGGACACAATGAAAACTACAGGGACCTAAAACTGATCAATGAGGGAGATGGATGTGACAAAGACGGGTCTGTACAGACTTCTCTGAGAAGGCGACAGTGAGACAGAATCCAGCAGGAGGAGGAAGACTGGGTTGTGTGAAAAAGCTTTCCAGGTCCAATTTAAGTAGGAAAAAATCGTTATTGGAAGGGCTGTAGGGCAAGCGTGGGGGCACTGTCTAGGCAGAAAGTGATGATCTCTGCAAATGCAAGGAAGTGGGTAGGTCTCAGGGAGGCTGGAGGTGGAGCCAACAGAAAGGGAGTGCGGACTCCCAGATGGTGGTCTGGGGTTTGAATGTGCCTTCCTTGCGATGTCTGTGGGGCATCTGAGGAACACAAACTTCATGCATGCTGTGGGGAAACGTGAGCAAGGGCTCTGGGGCATACATGTGGCACAGAGAACCCTGGGCCTGCAAGTGATCAACACAGGATGGGTGTCTACAGAGGAGAGAAGTGGGTCCCAGCCACGCTGTGAGGACTCCAGCATCAGAGGCTGGGTGAAGGAGGAGGCATCAGCAACTGCAACTGAGAATCAGGGCCTGGAGAAGGTGGGAAGCCTGGAGGAGGTTCAATCAAGAAGACTGAAAGAGCAGTGAGGGCTTTTAGTGGGTGAAAGAAAATCTACAGGCCGCCAAAGAAAAGTCAGATAAATTAGAGTACATCAAAGGAAATCCGCAAAAACCAGACACATGGCAAAATAAATAAATAATGTAAATAAATAGAATAATAAAAAAATAAAAAAGGGCAAATGGCAAACTAAAAAACTCTCCACAGGCAAAGGGCTAATTAACCTCCTAAGAGCTACAGTAAATCAACAAGAAAGACCAATAACCTAATAGGTACATGTACAAAGGATGTGAACAGGACAGGAAATGTAACTAATGCTTATATCCCATAAAATGCACTCCATCTCCTCCTAGGAAGAAAAAATGCACCTTTGGGCTGAACTCAGCTGCCATTTCCATACCCTCACTGCGGGGACTCAAGTGTTCCTGTGTATTGCTGGTGAATATAAGTGGGAAGATGGTGTGGCAGAATCCATCACAACAGCAAATGTCCCACACTTTAACCAGGTAATTCCACTTTTAGGTACTTCTTCAACAGTTGTATTCCTCCTTGTGCTAAACGACCTACATACAAGGTTTTCAGTGGTATGTCTACAGTGAGCCGCAGCAGGGTTCTATGTAGCTGTCCAAGGATGTAGAGCACTTGCTGCTGTGTATTGAAGTTGGAAGATGCACAAAAAAATGCCACATTTGGAACAAGGTGGAGATTAAACATCCATTTTTTTTTTTTAGATTGAGTCTTGCTCTGTCACCCATGCTGGAGTGGTTCACTGCAACCTCCGCCTCCGAGGTTCAAGCTATTCTGCTGCCTCAGCCTCCCAGGTAGGTGGGATTACAGGCGCACACCACCACTCCTGGCTAATTGTTTATATTTTTAGTAGAGATGGCGTTTCATCATGTTGGCCAAGCTGGTCTCAAACTCCTAACCTCAGATAATCCACCCTCCTCGGCCTCCCAAAGTGTTGGGATTATAGGCACGAGCCACCACACCCAGCCCATGTGTGTTTTAAAAAAGGGGAATGAGCTGGGCATGGTGGCTCACGCCTGTAATCCCAGCACTTTAGGAGGCCAAGGTGGGCGGATAACCTGAGGTCAGGAGTTCGAGACCAGCCTGACCAACATGGAGAAACCCCATCTCTACTAAAAATACAAAATTAGCTGGGCATGGTGGCACATGCCTGTAATCCCAGCTACTTGGTAGGCTGAGGCAGGAGAATCGCTTGAACCCAGGAAACTGAAGTTGTGGTGAGCCAAGATCATGCCATTGCAAGCACTCCAGCATGGGCAACAAGAATGAAACTCCATCTCAAAAAAACAACAAAAAGAAAGGCGGGTGGGGATGAACATGTGTCTGTAAATGTGTTTGCTTCTCTATGTATAGAGTCTTTTTAGAAAGACATGTAAGAAAGAAGGAATGTTGGCTGTTAGAGAGTAGGACTGTGTGGTACAGGCAGGGAAGAGTCATTTCACTGTATATGGTCTTGTGCCTTTTGAATTTCCTAACACATGAGTGTATTAGCTATTCAGAATATTGTCCTGATGAAGACATAAAAAGACTTCTCTGAGCCAGGTGTGGTGGCTTGAGCCTGTAATTGCAGCTACTTGGAAAGCTGAAGCAGGAGGATCACATGAGGTCAGGCGTTCAAGACCAGCCTGGGTAACAGAGCAAAATCCTGTCTCTTTAAATAAAGCAAGACTCCGTATCATAAATAAATAAATAGATAAACCCCTCTGGCTGCAAAGAAAAGGCACAGATTTATACCAAGACTCTTTTTTTTTTTCTTTTTTTTGAGACTGGGTCTCATTCCTGTCGCCCAGGCTGGAGTGCAGTGGCACGATCTCAGCTCACTTGCAGCCTTGACTTTCCTGGCTTGGGTGATACTCCCACCTCAGCCTCCCAAGTAGCTGGGACTACAGGTATGTGCTACCATGCCCAGCTAATTTTTTGTATTATTTTTTTCGTTGAGACACAGTTTTGCCATGTTGCCCAGGATGGTCTCGAACTCTTAGACTCAAGCAATCCAACTGCCAAGGCCTCCCAAAGTGCTGAGGTTACAGGCACGAGCCGCTGCACCTGGCTAAGAAGGTTCTAAAAACTCAGGAGTTGGAGGTACCTGGTACCTCTGCCCATGCAGGCGAATGGGCAGGGCACCCAGCAGGCTGGAGAGGCTGTTTCAGAAGCCAGTGCTGGGCAGAGCTGCTACTGTGGGCTCTGTCTGCACAGAATTCTGAGCCAACAGTATGCACTGCTGTGACTTTGACTCCTGGGTTTCTTCTCCCATCCTTGCAGAAGGCTATGTGAAGGGTGGGAAACCACTGAGTAAGTCAGGAGAATTATGTAAATAGTCCCACTGGATGCTGAGATGTCAGCCTCTCTCCCAAGGATGCTGGCAGGAGGCTAAAGGTACCTTGTAGAATTCAGAGGATGGCTCTAAACATGCTCACCGTGGAGAGCGCCCCCAAACTGGCCTAGCCACATTGCCCTATGGATCTGTCTGCAGTCTCTGCTCATACTCAAGCTGCTTGCTCACATCCCCTAAGAAAAGGGTCTCCTTGGTGAGTGGGCTTCCCCCAAGTCCCTTCCAGCCCTGGTTTGTTGTCACAGCTAATAAGCCCCTCATCTACCTGCCCAGAGCTGCCAGCTGGATCTGTGGTCCCCCTCTCTTGCATATGAGCCAACAGCTGGAAGAGAACAGAGACAATGCTGTTTTTTTAAGAAAACTTTTTTTTTTTTAAAGTTACTGCTGTTCTCAGAGAAATAAGGAAAAGACATTACAAATGAAAGAACAACAGGTGGCAGCTAAAAAGATGAGCATTCAGAGAACAAAAACACTCTTGGAAATCAAAAATATGCTAGAAGAGGCCAGATGCAGTGGCTCATGCCTGTAATCCTAGCACTGTGGGAGGAGACAAGGTGGGAAGATCACTTGAGGCAGGAATTCAAGACCAGCCCTGGCAGCAGAGTGAGAACCTGTTTCTACCAAAAAATTTAAAAAAAGCCTTGTAGTCCCAGTTACTTGGGAGGCTGAGGTGGGAGGATCACTTGAGCCCAGGAGTTTGAGGTTACAGCGAGCTAATGATGGCACCACTGTGCTCTAGCCTGTGCAAAACAGTGAGACCCTAAGAAAAAAAAAAAAAACTACCAGAAATGAAAATCATAACAGAAGGGCTGAAACATACAAGTGAGAAAATTTCCTGGAAAATAGAGTAGAAAGACAAAGGGAGGGAAACTTGGAGTGAAAAAAATTATATTAAAGGACCCATCCCAGAGGCCAATAGGCAAGTAACAGGGATCCCAGAAACGGAATAGAACAATAGAAGGGAAGGAAATAAAATAAACATTTCAAGGCGGTTTCCCAGAACTGAGAGATGTGAATTTCAGACTGAAAAGGCTCACTGACAATAGCGGTAAGAAAGGTCTGTGACTGAATACATAAAAAGAATTCTTCCAGCCAAACTTCAATCTAATGTTGAGGCTGAGACAATGTGTTTCAGATGCGGGACATCTCAGAATTTTATCTCCCACACCAGAACACCCACAAAGCTCCACCAAAACAAAGGTGTGAACTGAGAAAGAGGAGATCCTGGGTCTGAAAACAGGAAGGAACAGAAGAGAAGATGGGGTGTAGGGGGAGCCCGGATGATGCCAGACAAAGGTGGTGGCTGAGAGGTAGGTGACAGTGGGCCTCTGGCCTGTAATGCCTGGATGATTGGGCAGGATCCCTATCCTGTGTCAAGGTCCCTCTGTCCACCTGCTCTGTCCACTAACCTGCTATCCTTGTCAGGTCCCAACCCTATCTGTCCTGATGCCTGACCAGCAGGATGCAAGCCCAGGAGGCCATCTAGGATGCCAGGACTGGGAGAGAATGTGGGTATGGGAATTACAGGCCTTACTAGTAAAAGGTTTGACTGTGGTGGGAGTAGAAAGTAGGCGGGCTGTGGGATCAGTGGTGGGTGGCTTTTTTTTAAGGGCAGAAGATGCTAGAGTAGGTTAAACCTTATGGGGGATGGTCTAGGGAACGGGGCAACTTGGGGATGCTGGAGTAAGAGGGCTGCCTGAGTAGGGCCAGGAGCGGGGTCGGCGGAGAGAGTGCTGTCCATGCAGAGGGCCTACCACACCCCATCTCACTTACCTGGGGAGAAGATGCCCCCAGCTTCCTCATGCCACAGGGCCCTGGGGTGCTCCCTCCATGAGGGACCCTCAGGCCCAGTCTTGGTGTGGGGAAAGGCCTGGTCCAGCACCGTCCCACATCCCTGAAATCACAGTGGTCACTGCTCATCTGTGCCTAGCTGGGCTCAGGGAGGGACCTACCTGACCCCACCCAGTGACTGCAAGAGAAAGGAGGAGAATATGGACCTGGCCAGGACTTACCTGGGCCTCATCAGGCAGGAGGGTGGGTACAGACTCCTGGGTGGCAGCTAGCGGCCCAGACTCCAGGAAATCTAGAGACGAAAGCCTGAGCGAGTTTCAGGGAGCCTGGGTGAGCTTCCACCCACTGCCCTTCTTAGTGGTATGCCAGGTTTTGGCATTCAGAGAGGCGGGATTCCTGGTTGTGGGCTTGGGTTGCGGAGGGCAGTGCAGGGCAGCTGAGGGCCCAGCTTAGGGGCTGGGTAAAGCAGAATACCCTGGAAGACCAGAGGCTGAGCTGCAGTGGGATGAGATGGGCTTAGGTCTGTGCCCCCGTAGCCCTGTGAACTGTGGGACAAGATGGTCAGCAGGGGTCAGAGGTATTGTACAAAGGTCCACATGGGAAAGGCAGGATGAGAGCAGCTAGTTCAGGTGCCCTGCCTGGGAGGTGAATGGGGGCCATACCCCTAACACTGGAAGGTCCCCCCTGATCAGCTCCTACCTGCACCTCGGCCTGCTGTCTGGTCTCCAGTGACAAGCAGACATTGCCTAATGGATCTCCTTGGGGACTGAACACCACATGCCATCTGTACTTGGAAACCCCATTTCCAAGTACATTCTGGGGGGTCATGGGTACAGGGTTGTGGCAGTCAGGCTTGGAGTGCGAGGGGTAGTGACAGCACTGGCTAGGTTGGAGGTGAGACCTGACTGGGTAGAACATGGGGGCTGCTGGCACATGGAAACCATTCCATTTATAACAAACCTGGCCCAGCGAACTTCTGACTGATTGCTAAGGCCAGGCTCCCCGCCCATTCAATCAGACCTTAGGCACTGCCCACATTGCATGCCCTCACCTGAGTCCTCTGTAACCTCTGGCTCCTCTTTCACCTGCAGGCTCAGTGATGATCCCTGCATAGTCCCAGGAGGTGTTTCAGGCTCAGACTCTGGAGTTTGAGGCTGTGTTTGAGGTAGCGACTGGAAACTGGAGGGCTCCATCTTCTCTGATAGGACCTCCTGGCCCTGCACCTGGACTGTGACCTGGGGAGGTGCCCCCACCATCAGAGGTCCAACTGGAGAGTGGGACTGGCCTTAACCTGGGTATGTGTGTGCCCATCCTACTGTAGGATCCCAGGGGCCTGCCTTGTAAATACCTACTAACTTCCCTGGGCTCCGAGCAAGGAATGAAGGGAACACCTGCAGTCTCTCTCCTGCTTCTGACACCCATGGCCTTCCAGTACCTTCCCCATCTTCCCCTAGCCTGCAGCTCTTGTATCCATGTGACTACACGTGATGCAGGACTGGGCTTGGGAGGCTGGCCCTGGAATCCTTCCGCCCTGGGCAACCTTGCACAGGGTCTCTGTTGCAGGTGGCCACTTCTGTACCACAAGGGAGGATGTGTGTCTGGCCAAGCATGGTGCCACCCAGGGTGAGGCAGAGCTGGACCATGCTCCAGTCCTGAACCCCACTCATGGTCACTCACTCACCCATCTTCGAGGTCCGCCCGGCTCCTGGCACAGCCCATCTACCAGGGCAGCAGCCTCCTCGGGGCTGCCTGGCTGCTGCCCCTGCACACGGGCCTGGATCTCAGGGGGCAGTGCACCCAAGAACTGCTCCAGCACCAACAATTCCAGCATCTGCTCCTTGGAATGCACCTCTGGCTGCAGCCACTGGCGACACAGCTCTCGGAGCTGGGCCAGGGCCTCTTGGGGCCCTGTGGCCTCCTCATAGCGGAAGCACCGGAAGCGCAGGCGTGCAGCTTCAGGGCCTGGGTCCCATGGGGCAGCGTCACCCTCCTCCTCAGAGTCCTCCAGCTTCACCATGACAGGCCCTTCGTCTTCTGGGGGTGCTCGGTCTGGGGAGCCCAGCACTGCAGGCCTCATAGAGGGTACCAGGTCAGGTAGCTGAGGCCAGTGACTGCCCCTGGTGAAGAAATAGGATGAGGCCGTTGCAAGGGTAGACAGTGAATGTTTCACTACCTAGTCTGTGCTGTACTGTTCGATCCTCAGACCTAACCTATGTGGAAGGCAGATGAGGAAACTGAGGCAAAGAAAGGCCAGTCAGAGCCCACAGACTTGTGCAGCTGAAAGCCCTCCCTTAGCCACCTCTATTCCTGGTCTTCTCTCCACTTGGGCCTGTGCAGAGTCTATGATAGTCTCCCTGCTCCAAACACAGGTCTTTTTTTTTTTTTTTTTTTTTTTGAGACAGGATCTCACTCTTTTGCCCAGGCTGAAGTACAGTGGCAAGATCATTGTCACTGTGGCTTTGACCTCCCAGGCTCCAGAGATTCTCCCAGTTAAGCCTCCCAAATAGCTGAGACAACAGCGATGCGCCATGATGTCCAGCTAATTTCTTATTTTTTTTTGTAGGGATGGGATCTTACTATGTTGCCCAGGCTGTTCTTGAACTCCTGGGCTTAAGCAGCTGATCCTCTTGCCTTGACTTCCAAAAGTGCTGGGACTTACAGGTATGTTCCACCATCCTGGCCCACAGGTCTAGAATACACTTCTCTCTATATACTTCCTTTCTTCTACATGTGCAACCTCATTCCCGCCCTGAAGCTCTCTTTTACCAGCTGGATGACACCTATACACCTATATATAGCCTGGGCATCAGAATCACCGCTGCCCTCTCCCCCAACCCATCACCGGCCCTTACCTGACGGTCTACTCTCTCATCTACTTAGATTTGGTCCCTCACTTGGGTCCACGATCATTCCCGTCCCAGAGGGAAGCCTCGCTCCACCTAATCACCCATCTCAATCTGTGCAGTTGTATGGCTCAGCCCCCAGGTACCCCCTCTCTCTCTACTCAGTCCCATCTTCTGAGCCCAACTTATCACACCACGCAATGCCCATCTCCTCAGCTTCCTGATTTAGGTGGGGTTGGAAGGGGATGGGTGAGCTTCGCAAGGGGTGGGGGTGGGAGGCCACAAAGGCTCCAAGACCACTGGAATAGGAGCCTGCAAGGAAGTCCCGAGATTCTGATTCCGCCCATTTTCAGGTCACTGTGCCTTTGTGAACTTGTTTCCCCATTTGCAAGTGGGGCTGACCTTCCTGCTCGAGCTGCTCCTTCTGCAGCTGGGGCTTTGTGAAGGAATCTGCGCTTATGAATGGGATTGCGCCGCAGAATCATTCCCCCCGTGGGTAGCATCGATTTCGAAGGCCGCCTGATCCTGGGGGCTAAGCTTCTACTCTTCAATGAGCCAAGTGAACCAGAAACCCTGGGAGAAACTTGGGTCATAGCCAAAACAGCAGGTATCTAGGGAGGGTCCCGAAATACACTTCCCAGAAGTCCAGGCGGCAACTTCCGCTCCAGGGTGCCAAGGTACGTCCTGGAGACGCCTAGGCAACCGGGGGCGGGGCTCCAAAAGCCTGCCGTGGCAACGAGGAGTGATTGATAAGCCTCGCGCTCAGGCCCTGGGATCCTCCGCAGGGAGTGCCCGGATTCCTTCCCCCGCTCCCGGTCTCTCCGGGCAGCCGAAATCCCTGAGTCTGCAGCCACAGCCCCGGTCCCCACCCTAACCCTCCCGCTTGAGAGGACCCCGCCCTCACCTCTGCGCTCAGCTGGCCGCTCCGCGCTCCTGAGCACGCGCAGTCTTCGACTTCCCCCTCCCCGCTGGACTACGTCTCCCAAGACGCTCCGCGCACCAGCTCAAGCGCCTCCTTGCCCTTCCCCCACCCTCGCCTCCGTTTCTACACCCTCTCCTCCCGTCCCCTGGGGGTAGCGGTGGTCGCAATGATCAGGCCACACTCCTGGCCGCTTCTCTCCATGCTCCCCTCCTCGAATCCGTACGTTGACGTGTGCAAGCTTCTCGGGGACAACAGACGGCAGTACCACCTTGCAGTTCGCGCATGCCCCCCACCACGTTTTCCTCAATTCTTTACGGTGCTTCCTGAGATTAGCAGGGTTCTGCACCAATCCCGGCCCTCATTAGAACTCCGTCGCCCCACGTCTCCGTGGCAACGCCCTGCATGAAGGGGCCTCCTCTGCTACTTCCTAGACCGCAAAATGGAGAAAGGCTTGGCCCCAAGTGTTCGAGGAGACGTAGTCGTCAGGGACCTTCGTGTGTAGGTGCGCGCGCGGCGCGGTGACGTTCCTGTGTGATCTTGGCCCCGAACGTCTCCGTGGTAATCCAGGAACCCGGCATCGCCTGAGCACCCCAGAGATGGGGCGGGCATGTAAGGGGACATGTTGGAAAAGCAATGGGGCATGTGGGATGAGGAGGTGGGGAGGATTACTGGGGCAGAGATGCCGGTCGATAGAAACAGCGAGGAAAGACAGAAACAGAGAGACCAGAGAGTCAAGGGCAAGGAGAAACGAAGGACAGAGAGGAGAGGGAAGAAGAGAGAGACAGAGGCAGAGACAGAGAGTCAGAGAGAGACCCACAGACTGGGAGGGCCGGAGACTCGACACGAGCACAGACAGTGAAAATAAGTGAACAAATGTAGTCATACGGGCCGAAGTTATAAGAGGGCTGTCAGAGGGTCCTGGGGAAACAGGTGTCAGAACAGTTAGCAAGAGAGAGGCAGATAAGAAAGGGATGCAGATGAAAGAGACACAAAGAGGGAAACGCAGAATGGGTTCACAGAGACAAGAAGTGCAGATATCCAGACTCAGGCAGACAGGAAGGGAGAGGGACAGAGGCAAGAAGGGAGAAAAGGGACAGAAATCAGAGATACAGTGAGATGGACTGACAGATTTCAAAGACTTAGAGAAAGATGACAGCGCGAAGAGAGACAGGGATAGTCAGAGGTAGAACTGTTAGAAAAACTTACGAAAGTGTTAGGAAAACTTAGGAGTCCAGATGCTGTCCAGTTAGATGCTACCTTGTGCACGCTGATAGGTTGCAAATGCTTTCTGCCCAGTGTATCATCTTGTAGCTCACGGCTCACTAAGCAGTTTTGCATCTGACTTTGTGTTTTTTTATTTCAGTGTTCATTCATTCCTTTTTTTTTTTTGGCAGAGTATCACTCTGTCCCCAGGCTGGAGTGTAGTGGTGCCATCTCGGCTCACTGCAACCTTTGCGTCCTGGGTTCAAGCGATTCTACTGCCTCAGCCTCCTGAGTAGCTGGAACTACAGGCATTCGCCACCATGCCGCTAATTTTTGTACTTTTGGTAGAGTTGGGGTTTCACCAAGTTGGCCAGGATGGTCTTGATCTCTTGACCTCATGATCCACCCGCCTCAGCCTTTCAAAGTGCTGGGATTACAGGCGTGAGCCACTGTGCCTGGCCTGATTTTTGCATTTTTAGTAGAGACAGGGTTTCACTATGTTGGTCAGGCTCATCTCAAACTCCTGACCTCATGATCCACCTGCCTCAGCCTCCCAAAGTGCTGGGATTACAGGTGAGTCACCTGGCCCTGCCCCTCTGCCTCCTTTCATAAGTACCTCTGTGATTGTAATTAGGGACTGCTGGAATAACTCGGGACAATTTCCGTATCTCGAGATTAATTTACAAAGTTCCTTTTGCCATGTAGGGTAATTTACTCATGGTTTCCTGGGATTACCATATGGACATATTTAGGTGACCTTATTCAGCTTCCCACAGTGACATTTGCTATCTCCAAGTGAGAAGTGTGGAGATGGGTAGTTCACCTCATCTTGCCTGGGAAGTAGGTCAGGACCTTTTGGTTCTCTTGGCTCCCTCTGTGGTTTTAAGAGATTACTGTGAGGGGCCGGGTGCGGTGGCTCCAGCCTGTAATCCCAGCACTTTGGGAGGCCGAGGCAGGTGGATCACGAGGTCAAGAGATCGAGACCATCCTGGTCAACATGGTGAAACCCCGTCTCTACTAAAAATACAAAAATTAGCTGGGCACGGTGGCGCGTGCCTGTAATCCCAGCTGCTCAGGAGGCTGAGGCAGGAGAATTGCCTGAACCCAGGAGGCGGAGGTTGCGGTGAGCCGAGATCGCGCTATTGCACTCCAGCCTGGGTAACGAGCGAAACTCTGTCTCAAAAAAAAAAAAAAAAAAAAAGAAAAAAGAGATTACTGTGGAGCCTTAAGGAGTTAAAAGAAAATGGAAAAATGGGTTTAGCTGACAGGAACAGAAACGGATGCACGGGAGCAAATGTTCAGAGAAATGGGGTCAGCTGCAAATGGCTCACCTACACCCAAGCATCATGTCTGCAAGCATTGAGCCCAAGCAGCACGACCGTGTGAAACTTCCCTCAGGCCCCTGCGTCTTGACAGACAGCCTTCCCTCTCCATATTGCCTGCTGCTCCCTTGCAATGTTATCTCCCCCTTTTCTCTGGTAATGCTGCCTTTCTAAACTCATTACTGGCTTGGTAAATTATTTTACCACCTGCGTGCCAGCCTCAGGCAGTCACTGATCACGATGTTTTGGTGGCCCACATGGGGACTCTCCCTACGGGGGACACTTTCCCTCTCCGTTCCTACTCAGGACCCTCGGTGGACAGTCCAAAAGTGTGTGGAGACAACTGAAGGTCTCTGGCCAGGACTACACTCTGGTGAAACTGAAAGGTGTCCATTCAGAGGTATCTAACCACCACTGCTTGCTCTGGTGAGGGACCTAAGTTTGCTTTCCTTTTTCAGCCTTCCAGCAGCCAGCTTCCAGTGCCCCTCTGGTGATGGATGATGTCTGGCCAGGCTGCTGCTCCCTGGTGTTGCCTGAAGGTCAACAGAGCTGGCTGCCTTGCCTGGAAGGGAGAGACTCCCGTATCCTTCTCTGGTCAAGAGTTCCAGAACTCTGCATGTGGTGCAGTTAGCAATGGCAGCTCCTCTAGGGTGAAACCACATACGTTTTGAGTGACTTAGACCTCACGGAATTCTCCGCTGAAGAGCCAGCCATCCTGCTGCTCCAGATGTTTTCATCCAGGTGATCCCAAACAGCACCAGAACAGCCAATCTTCCCTCAACCTCTTCCCCTGAGACCTTGGGCCAAGCCCTCAGTGTAATTTGTGCCTGGACTGACCTGGGACTGTCACCCTAGTGGTCATCCCAGGGTAAGGCACCCTAGCTCTGGGAGGCTTTTTCTAACAGGCAGGTGTTAGAAAAGTGCTCCTCAGGGTCCTTCAGCAGGTGTGAGTGGAGCACTTTTCCTTGGTAGGGTGCCCCAAGTGGAAATTGGTTCAACTAGCCCCAAGCGGCTTGGTTTCCCAGTCACACAATTGGACACACCCTGTCTAGTCCCTCAGACTTGCCTCTGGGTTGCATTCTAAAACACTGGAGGTCCGGGCACGGTGATTCACGTCTATAATACCAGCACTTTGGGAGGCCGAGGTGGGTGGATCACAAGGTCAGCAGATTGAGACCATCCTGGCTAACACAGTGAAACCCTGTCTTTACTAAAACAAACAAAAAGAATTGGCCGGGTGTGGTGGCATGCACCTGTAGTCCCAGCTATTTTGGAGGGTGAGGCAGGAAAATCACTTGCACCTGGGAGGTGGAGGTTGCAGTGAGCCAAGATCATGCCACTGCACTCCAGCCTGGGCGACAGAGGTGATACTCTGTCTATAAAATAAAATAAAAATAAAACATTTGAACAAATTTGGCCTCCAAAATCTCAAAAAGAAATGATTAATTTTCCTAAGCAAAGTGGCTTGCCTGCTTTACAAACTTCTGGGTCAGAAATTCTGGTCTCTGAACGAGACCCTTTCTCCCGATACTATGTTACAGCTTGGCCTTTTCTGTTACAACTCCTATAAATGGTCTGAAGTTCTTTTTTTTTTTTTTTTAGACACTCTATCACCCAGATTGGCGTGCAGGGGCATAATCTCAGCTCACTGCAACCTCTGCCTCCTGGGTTCAGTCAATTCTCCTACCTTGGCTCCTACCTTAGCTTCCCGAGTAGCTGGTATTACAGGCGCACGACACTACACCCAGCTAATTTTTGTATTTTTAGTAGAAATGAGGTTTCACACTGTTTGCCAGGCTGGTCTTGAACTCCTGACCACGTGATCCGCCCACCTCGGCCTCCCAGGGTGCTGGGATTACAGGCATGAGCCACCTCGCCTGGCCCTGAAGTTCTTTATGTCCAGGATTTTATGACTGTCTCTGTGGATCCCAGTCTCTGCCAAACCTATCCAATGTGCTTGGCTGAATTCTCTAGCCCCGCTGACTCTTCTGACAATAACCTTTCCTTTATCCTTTCTGCTTTCCCCAGGCAGCTGGACTGGTTGAGGCCACCCTGCACATATCATCTTCATGTTCAACTGTCCCTACTCCATGTGTTCCTTGTCCCTCACCTCCTTGTCATCTCACCTTGGATGTCATTTTCCAGTTCCACCTCCTTTGCAGGGACTCTTGTCCTCTTCACATACTAGGTTGGGGGCCACTTATGATCCCACTTTAGGTCCAGAGAAGGTTCTGCTGTTCTGAGAAATGGCAAATGTGGATCTAGGAACCATCAGAGTCCATTTTTCCTTTCCCAATGTCTGACCTCTCTCAGATAGAAGCAAAGCTTTTGTCTCCTTCAGCCAAGACCCTTCCCATTTCATAAGAAAACTGAAAGGACTAACCATTTTATTTAATATCACTGGCAGGATATTTATATGATTTTTTTTTTTTTTTTTTTTGAGACAGAGTTTCGCTCTTATTACCCAGGCTGGAGTGCAATGGCGTGATCTCAGCTCACCGCAACCTCCACCTCCTGGGTTCAGGCAATTCTCCTGCCTCAGCCTCCTGAGTAGCTGCGACTACAGGCACGCGCCACCATGCCCAGCTAATTTTTTGAATTTTTAGTAGAGACGGGGTTTCACCATGTTGACCGGGATGGTCTCGATCTCTTGATCAACCTGCCTCGGCCTCCCAAAGTGCTGGGATGACAGGCGTGAGCCACCGTGCCTGGCCCTTGTTTATATGATCTTTGCCACCTGTTGTGCTTATGAGGAAAAGTCCTGCCTTTGGTCTCTAGCTCAATGATGGGCAGATGAGGTTCATGCCTGGAACCCTCAGGAGTCTGGCCTGGGGAGAATGGGAGTTCCTAATGCTGATCCTAGATGGGGCTACTGAGAGGAAAACACTGGCAGGGAATGCCGTCATCATGTGATTACTTGTTTAACTGAAGGCATGAAGAAGGCCGTCACAAAACCAGTCACCTATGCCGAACTAAGAGAGGTAATACAGGAGCCAAATGAAAACCCAGCTCTATTTGACTGCAGGTTGGCCGAAGCTGTGAGAAAATGTACTAATATGGACCCCGAGAGCTGAGAAGTCCTCGGTATTTTGACTGTTCTTTTTATTAGCCGGGCTTCTCCAGATATTAGACACAAACTCCAAACACTAGACCAAAAACCACAAATTCCATTCCCCACTTTGCTGGACATGGCCTTCAACGTCTTTAATAAAGAGGAAAAATTGCAGGGTGAATGAGACAGAAAAGATCAAGAAAGATTAAGTGGCAGGTTCACTACACGGCTGCTGCCATTGCAAATTCTCTGCCCATCCCAAGGGCCCCAGGTCAGCCATCAGGATGGAGCCTAACAGCCAGTAAGGAGCCTGCTATCTGCTGTCACTATAATCAGCCGGGCAAATCTGCTGGAAATGCCCAAAGCTTCCCAACCATATTCTGGTCCTTAGCGACCCTGTCCTCACCGCAAACAAGCAGGACACTGGAAACAGGACTGCCCCTCTTCTTCATGCGGAGGGTCATCACACAACCAGCAACCCCAGTTTGTGAGACAGTTTGTGAGCCAGTTTGCGAGAATGGCAACCACAAATGCTCCTAAGTCTATTCTTTGGCTATGAGAAACTTTCGGAACTCAGAAGGCAAAAGGAGATGACTGATGGGGTCCAGAAGCCATCCAGGCCATCCAGTAACCCTAACTCTGGCAGGGAATAAGATTGACTTTTTAATTTACACAGGAGCTACTTATCCAGCCCTAAGTAGTTTTCTTGGTCCTACCTTTTGGTCCTCAATCCTCCTCACCAGCATATAGGCCAGGCCAGGCCACAGCAGGGATGCTTCACCTCCCCCCAACTTTTCTTTTGAGGTAGAGTCCTGCTCTTTTGCCCAGGCTGGAGTGCAGTGGTGCAATCTCGGCTCACTGCAACCTCCGCCTCCTGGGTTCAAGTGATTCTCCTGCATCAGCCTTGCGAGTAGCTGAGACTACAGTCACCCAGCTAATTTCCGTATTTTTAGTAGAAATGGGTTTCACCATGTTGGCCAGGCTGGTCTCAAACTGCTGACCTCAGACTCACAGACTGCCTCTGTGACTTCAAATCTCCTATTACATTTGTTAGTCACAACCCCTGCAAGCCTGGTCTTGATGGTCACTTAGAAAGAAAATCTACAAGTTGCTGTGGAGCTTCAAGTGTTCTGCCTGCCCACCCTCCCAAAGTGCTGGGATTATCAGTGTGAGCCACCACGCCTGGCCACTTCTCCCTTAGTATGCACTCTGGGGAAAAATGTTTCCACGTGCTCTTTCCCGGTCCTACCAAGCTGTCCTATCCTCTTACTTGGAAGGGACATAATGATAAAACTCCAAAGTAGTGTTCTCTTTAAAAAAAATTTTTTTTGAGACAAAGTCTTGCTCTGTCCCCCAGGCTGGAGTGTAGTGGCATGATTTCGGCTCATTGCAACCTCTGCCTCCTGGGTTCAAGCAATTCTCCTGCCTCAGCTTCCTGAGTAGCTGGGATTACAGGTGCCCTCCACCACATCTGGCTAATTTTTGTATTTTTAGTAGAGATGGGGTTTCACCATGTTGGCCAGGCTGGTTTTGAATTCCTGACCTCAGGTGATCTGCCCGCCTCAGCCTTCCAAAGTGCTGGGATTGCAGGCATGAGCCACCACCCCCAGCAAACTCCCAATTTTTCAGTATCTACAATGTTACTTCCAACCTAGCATGCTTAGCCAGTCCTTATGCATGCACGGGCCTCATAACACAACCTTTTGAGCAACCATAAAGGCTTCTTCACGGGGCTCCCCCTGTAAAGCACAGCCCAGTGTCTCTGACCCATGGATTTTAAGCACAACTTGGCAGCCAGAAGGTGATCACAGTACAGTCTTCGACATCGCATCTGATAGTACTGTTTATACTTGGGCCCCTTGCTGAAACCTCTTTTCTTCAATCAAGCCACATACCCAGCCCTAGACCCTCTCAGAGCTATGAACCTAGCTTTCATCAAATATGCATTGGCTGGGTGTGGTGGCTCACACCTGTCATCCCAGCACTTTGGGAGGCCGAGGTGGGAGGGTCACGAGGTCAAGAGATCAAGACCATCCTGGCCAACATGGTGAAACCCTGTCTCTACTAGCAATACAAAAATTAGCTCGGTGTGGTGGCACATGCCCGTAGTCCCACCTACTCAGGAAGCTGAGGCAGGAAAATCACTTGAACCCTGGAGGCAGAGGTTGCAGTGAGCTGAGATCGCGTCACTGCACTCCAGCCTGGCAACAGAGCTAGACTGTCTCAAAAAAAAAAAAAGAAAAAAAAGCACCACATACCTCACTTTTTTAGATTTGTTGTAGTTGTTTTGTCAGAGGAAAATGTGGGCCCCTAAGGAGTTAAAAGAAAATTGGAAAATAGGCCGGGCACGGTGGCTCCCACCTGTAGTCCCAGCACTTTGGGAGGCTGAGGTGGGTGGATCACCTGAGGTCGGGAGTTTGAGACCAGCCTGACCAACATGGAGAAACCCCATCAATCTACTAAAAATACAAAATTAGCTGGGCACAATATCGCATGCCTGTAATCCCCAGCTACTCAGGAGGCTGAGGTTGTGAGCTGAAATCATGCCATTGCATTCCAGCCTGGGCAACAAGAGTGAAACTCCATCTCAAAAAAAAAAAAAAAAAAGAAAAGAAAGTTGGCAGGAACAGAAACAGAAGTAAAGGGCAGAGAATGTTCAGAGAAATGGTGTCAACCAGAAATGGCTCACTAGGACCCAAGTATCCTATTACCAGCACTCAGCTCACAGCCCGGCTGCACCAGGAATCCTGTCTGCCCGTATTCAGCCCAAGCAGCAGGCCTCGTAAAACCTCCCCGCAGCCCCTGCCTCTCGGCAGAAATGTTTTCCTCTTCTGTGTTGCCCGCCGCTCCCTTGCAACCTGTATCCCCTTTTCTCTAATAAATTGCCTTTCTGAGCGCATTCCTGTCTTGGTAAATTCTTTACCACCTGTGTGCCAGCCTCAGGTAGTTGTTGACCAGAACAATTCCTATATCCCCACTTGCTGGCAGAAGAGAGAGAAGTCCCTCAGCAGACCTCTCTCTTGTTCTGATAGGCCAAAAACCAAGTGACACTGCTCTCTAGCTACACGGAAGGCAGGGAAGTGAGTGTGCAGTGTTCCTCACAGCGGAGAAAGAAGGGGCTGGGCATGCTGCTGGGACAGTGGCCAGCAGGTCTGGGTGCTCTGTGTCAGGGAGTGGGAAGGCCAGCATGTGCTCATAGATTAATGCTCATGTGTCTCCTCCTTACAGGTAGAGGCAGCGTGGCAAGAGAGGGCAAGGGGCTGCCACTGTGGGCACAGTGGTAGCTGCTAGGGCTGAGCAGGAGGAAGAGAGCTCATCGAGGCGCGTGGTTCAGGGGGAGGAATGAAGACAGACCCCACCCACAAGTGTCGGGAAAGACACCTTTTGGTGACGTTGGCCTCCATTACCCTGCGAGTGAAGTTGGAGGTGCTGTGGAGGTTTGAAGAGAGTGAGAAACTGACACGGATTGACAGGGCCCTAGGGCTGGTCACCTCCACTGTTGCCTCGATCCGTTCAACGAGGACAAGATCCGGGCTAATTCCCGCTGCCACTCCAGTAAGTGCCGTACAGCTGACTTGCTGCTGGGGTGTGGTGATGGGCCACGTGCAGCGCCTGTTGAACCTGTGGATTGGGGAGCAGAAGCAACACAACTTGCCTGTCAGCACACTGCTCATCCAGGACAAGGCATGCTGGCTGTTTGTACAGCTACAGCAAGAGCAGGGCGACGGTGCCCAGGCTGAGAGCTTTGGGGCCAGGAAGGGCTGCCGACGGATGAGCCAGCCATAGCTGACACCCAGGCTGCTGCCCAGTACCCCTTGGTGTTACGTACTGTCCTGGAGGAGGCCTACTACTCACCACACCAAGTCTTCAATGTGGATGAGACGGGGCTGTTCAGGAAACGGATGCCCAAGCGCTTGCTGCTGGCATTGGAAGGGGTGACTGGGCCTGGGCCAAGGCCTCTAAGGCCCATCTGACCCTACTGCTTGGTGGCAATGTGGCCAGCAACTTCTAGATAAAGCCCCTGCTAGTGCACCCCTCAGAGAATCCGCGGGCCCTCGAGGGCTGCTCCAAGGCCAGCCTCCCTGTGGCCTGGTCCTCCAATCGCAATGACTGGCTGACTCCCCGAGTCTTCCAGGATGCTTCTGCCCTGCCATGGAGACCTGCTGTGCTCACATCATGCCCTGCTGCTTCTGGATGGTGCGCCCTACCATCCTGCCCATCTGGGTGGCCTTTCAGCCCATGTGCACGTTGAGTTCTTGCCCAAGAACACCTCAGCCCTAATTCAGCGCATGAACCAGGGCGTCAGCACTGCCTTCGCGGCCCACTACCTGCGCTGCACACTCAGCCACCTGGTCCAGGAGACTGCTGATGAGGACTGGCCCTCTACGTGGGAGTTCTGGTGCAGCTATACCGTCATGACTGCCGTGGACGGTATTGCCGAGGCCTGGGCAGAGCTGCAGCCTGCTACCAGGAACAATGCCTGGAGGAAACTCTGGGCTGAGTGTGTGCCCACCAGTGCCCCTGAGCCTGATGTGGTGCCCGAGCTCCGCCACAGCACTGTGGCACTAGCTAGCCATGTGGCTCTTGGGGATGTGGCTGAGGCTGATGTTGCCTGCCTGCTGCAGGCCTGTGGGGAACCCCCACTCCACAGTGTCCCCCAGGATGCAGAGGATGGGGACACTAGCACCTCGGGGCTGTCTTGGGAGGCAGGGAAAGGCTTGGCCTTTAAAAGGTCAGAGAAGCCATGAAGAGTACAGAGACCAGGGGGCTGGTGAGGGAGTTCAGAGCCGTGAGCAGCTGGCCCAGGTTGTGTCTCACTTTGCTGCTGGCCTTCGATTCCTTGTGGAGAATGACCCCAACTGGGAGCATAGCTTGCGGGTGTCCCGGGGTATCCTCGGTGCTCTTGCCCACCTCCAGGAGCTACACTGAGACAGGAGGCCCTAGGTCAGTGGCAACAAGGGAGTTGGTGGGAAGCTTGCATTTGTTCCAGGACAGGCCTGCAGAGCATGGGTGAGTGGCCCAGGGCACAGGCCTGGAAGGACAGACTCCTGCAGCTGTTCTGCATGATGCTGGGCTTGGCCCTTATCTCAGATGAACTCTGCCTAGTGATCTTTTATTTCTGGGGGGCAGACACTAGGCCTTCTCGCTCATGGTTCTCACATCTCATGTCCTGTGGCCTTTCTGCAGTGACAAACACACAGCACCAGGCTTGGGAACAAGAAGGTTCCGTTCCGTTCTGTTCCGTATCTGTGGGTCAGCCGCAGGGCTCAGGAACACCCACCTGCGGTTGAGATGCACCCTGACGCCAAAGTAATCGCCCACCGGGGCTGCCTTCACTTGCGCCGACGCCGGCTGCTTCCGCAGAAACAGACGCACCTGAGCCGCCCTCCAGCCCCGCCTGCTCTCCGCGCGCCGGCGTGGAATGTGGGGTGGGGTCGGGGTCGCGCCTGAGGGGCAGGGGCGGAGAGGACAGGGCGGAAAGGAGCTCCGGTCTTCGGGTGGTTTGTCTTCGTTTCCGCGCGGCTGGGCCAGTCCCGGCAGGTCCCAAAGGTGAGTCCTGGCGCGGGGTGCCCAGAGGCATCGGGAAGCCCGGGGAGGGGGCCGGGACGTGGAGTACACCCGTCTCCCCAATACCTGGTATATTACAAGTGCCCATAACTGATACAGTGAATTAATCCACCCAGCACGTCCTGAGGAAGCTCCTGGGTAGCGGCTCCGCCCTGAGTTCGGGTCTCCTCCACGACTCCGGGTGTTTGTCCGCGAACCGGGTTCGGGCAGCGCCCGAGGTCCGCCCGGGGTGGCCGGGGCCTCTGCCCCTCGTGAACCAACGCTCCGGGGCCTGCAGCGGGTCCCTGTTCTACTCACACACCCCGTCCGCTTTCCCGCCCAGCTCTGGGCAGTTCTGCATTTTCGCAGCCTGGGACTGGGTCCTCGCTGTTCCTTCTGCACTCGTGCGTGTCCCTCCCTACACTGAAACGGGGAGGGCGTTCAGTCCATAGCCATCTCTGCACACCTGGCTGAGGCATTCCCAGACCTAACCTCAGATCATGTGCATGCTATGAACACTCCTAAGTGGCTAGGCCTCTTGCACCTGAGCAGGCGGCTTCTGCCCAACACTGGGGCTTTCTCTGGGCTGTCCATCATGGGTATATCTCCGGATCCCAGGATTGCTAGTCAGCACCTCACATTTGAGGGTCTGTGCCATTCAGTCTAGAATCAGAGTTAGATGAGAAATCAACTTTGAACACCATCTTTAGGCTGATGCAGTGGCTCACACCTGTAATCAGAATTAAAATCCACATCCTTGACCGGACAGGGCAGGGTGGCTCATGCTTGTGATCGCAGCACTTTAGGAGGAATAGGTGGGTGGATTGCCTGAGGTCAGGAGTTTGAGACTAGCCTGACCAACATGGTGAAACCTAGTCTCCACTAAAAATACAAAAGTTAGATTGGGCGCGGTGGCTCACACCTGTTATCCCAGCACTTTGGGAGGCCGAGGCGGGAGGATCGAGACCATCCTGGCCAACATGGTGAATCCCCGTCTCTACTAAAAATACAAAAATTAGCTGGGTGTGGTGGCGCGTGCTGGGAATCCCAGCTCCTCGAGAGGCTGAGGCAGGAGCATCACTTGAACCTGGGAGGTAGAGGTTGCAGTGAGCCAGGATCATGCCACTGTAGTCCAGCCTGGCGACAGAGTGAGACTCTATTTCAATCAAAATAAAAAATGAAAAAAGTCGGCCATGGTGGCGCACTCCTGTAGTCCCATAGTCCCAGCTACTCCGGAGGAGCAGAGGTTGCAGTGAGCTGAGATGGCGCCACCGCACTCCAACCTTGGTGACAGAGGGAGACCCTGTCTCAAATAAATAAATAAATAAATGGCCAGCTCTGTAGTTCCAGTTACTTGGGAGGCTGAGGTGGGAGAATCACTTGAACCCGGGAAGGGGAGGCTGCCGTGAGCCAAGATAGCACCACTGTACTGCAGACTGGGTGACAGAGACCCTGTCTCAAAAAAAAAAAGAAAAAGAAAATAAAAAGAAAAAAAATTAAACAATAATAATAAAATCCAGAACCTTACTGAGCTGAAAGCCTGCAAGATCGCCCCAGCCACATTGGCCTTTGCCTGTGCTGTTCCTGCTACCCAGAATGTCCTCCCTCTGGCTGTCTCCTCCTTGGCACCCTTCTAGGGGGTGAAGAACCCTAAGTGGGTGGGATGGGGCTGCCTGGGCTTGGGGAGCGCTGACCAGCCCCTTTAAAAATAGGCATTGGTGGCTGGGTGTGGGAGGCCGAGGCGAGAGGATCCAGAGTATCCTGGGCAACATAGTGAGATCTCATCTCTACAGAATAACTTAGCTGGGTGTGGTGCTGCACACCCATAGTCCTAGCTACATGGGAGAATGAGGCAGGAGGATTGCTTGAGCCCAGGAGGACCCCAAGCCCATCAACCTGGAGGTGCAATTCGAGGTGCTGTGGTGCTTTGAAGCTGGAGAGAAGCTTGGTAGAATCAGGAAGGTGTTGGGGCTGTCCATCTCCACCTTGGCCACCATTCATGACAGCAAGATCTGGGCGAGTTCCCAGGCGGCCACACTGCAGGCAGCCACCAAGTTGACACGCATCCACAGCCTGGTGATACAGAATACAGAGCAGCTGCTGAGAGTGTGGATTGAGGACCAGAGCCAGCGCCACGTGCCTGTCAGTGTGGTGCTTGTTCAGGAGAAAGCCCACAGCCTGTTCGAGAACCTCAAGCAGAGCAGGGCAAGGGCGTGGGCGCCTAGCCCGAGAGCTTCGGGGCCAGTTGTGGGTGGTTTGCTGGCTTCAAGGTGTGCCACAGCTTGCGAAGCATGGGTGTGAGCAGCTGGACTGCAGGTGCGGACCTGAAGGTGGCACACAGGTACGCAGCACTAATGTGCAGGGTGATCCTGGAGGGCGGCTACACACCCCAGCTGGTGCTCAACATGGATAAGCCCGGGTCTTTCTAGAAGTGCCTTCCCTATAGCACATTCATTTTCCTGTAGAAGACGAGGCGGTCCCCAGTGTCAAAGCCACCTGAGACCTCCTGACCCTGCTGCTCTGTGGCAATGCGGCCGGTGACTTCCATCTGAAGCCCCTGCTGGTGTACCCCTCGGAGAGCCCATGTTCCCTCAAGGCTTCCTCCAAGCCCAACTTGCCCGAGGTGTGGCACTCGCATAAGAAGCCCGAGTCACCATGAGCCTCCTCCAGGAGTGGTTCACGCACTTCTGCCCCGCAGTGGAGAGGCACTGCTCCCAGCACGACCTTCCTTGCAAGGCGCTGCTTATCCGAACAGCACCCCTGGCCACCCTGGGAACCTGGACGACCTCTTGGACCACATGTGCACAGAATACCTGCCAAGATCACCACGGCCCTCTTCCAGCCCATGAACCGGGATGTAGCGGCCCTCTTCAAGGCCTGCTGCCTGCGGAGGATCTTCTGCCTCCTGGCCGCGAGGGCGGGCGGCAGTGAGGGACTTCTGGCAGGACTGCAATGTCCTTGATGCTGTCTACCACATCTCCAAGTCCTGGGAGAAACTCCTACTGCTTGCTCTGTTTTTTTGTTTTTTTTTTGACGTGGAGTCTCGCTCTGTCATCCAGGCTGGAGTGCAAGTGGCTGATCTTGGCTCACTGCAACCTCCGCCTCCCGGGTTCAAGTGATTCTTCTGCCTCAGCCTCTCGAGTAGCTGGGATTACAGGCGCCCGCCAGCACGCCTGGCTAATTTTAAAAAATATATTTGTAGTAGAGATGGGGTTTCACCAAGTTGGCCAGGCTGCTCTTCAATTCCTGACCTCAGGTGATCCACCCACCTTGGCCTCCCAAAGTGCTGGGGTTACAGGCATGAGCTACTGTGCCCGGCCTCCTACCAGTTGCTCTGAATGGAAGGTGGAAGAAGCTATGGCCGGAGGGCGTCCACGGCGATGTGGGCATCTGGGTTGCGGAAATTCTCCTGCAGATCCATCATGACATCGTGGAGCTGGCGCACAGCGCAGGTTTTGCGGAGGTGGCGGAGGCCGACGCGAGGGAGCTGCTGCAGTGCCACGGGGCAGATCTGTCCAATGAGGAGCTGACGGGACCAGAGCAGGAGAGGGACGCTGGGGAGGCGGGTGAGGACAGCTGCCAGCTCGTGGCCAGGCACGTGGCCAAGGCCCTTGCACACTTCGATGCCGGCTTGCAGAGCGCAACCTGCAGCTCAGTCTCAACGTGTGCCAGGGCATTAGCAACATGATCAGCTGCCACCAGGAGCGCTTCCGGGAGAAGAGAGGTTCCCCAGCAGCGCCCCGGTGTGAGCTGTAGGTGGGAGTTCTGGGGCACAGGACTCTGTTGGGGGAGAAAAGATCCTCCCGTCTGTCTCCCTCAGTGAAAGTGATACTGGTATGAATGTTTCCAGTTCATTATATTTAATTCCTCAAATGTCCGGGACCAGCCCTGACAATGGACTGTGGGGGTTGCAAGGGACGGCAGAGACAAAGAAATGAAAAAAGACCGGTGAAGAGTGCATACAGTGGGGGCCTGGGGCCAACGTGACTGTGGAGACTGCCAAGGCCCCGAGTTCTGGAGACCTACATCATTTATTGGTGTACAACACAAAGCAAGATTGTGGTAGGGGTGTCGGGGGAAACAAGGGAATGAGGTGTCAGGCAGGTGATCTATAGCTAGGGCAGTTTGGCATTTCCTTTGAGGCATATAGAACAAGTTCTATTCTAGATTTAATCATTACACCAGCTAGAGGGGTCAGATAGGCGCCAGCAAGCCTGGTCGCATTCTTGTGCTTCGAAGGAGCATTCCTCCCTTGAGCACGGAGCATGGCGTTCCATAAGCTCTTTCTGTGCCAGATAAGGAAGTCATGCCACAGCTTTCCTCCCAGTACCCAAATATTTTTATCCGCATTAACTTATTATCTCAAGTGAACTTCTATCTCAAATATATGGTTCTCAAAAGCGTCCATGAACTCTCAAGTGTGATCTTATTATAGCCTGGGGCCCCTTGGAGCACAGTGTGCCAGTGACCTAGTGGAAGCCAACAAGAAAGCCAGGCTCACTGTGCAGCATCTCCCTCCATGGTCTTCCTGGAGCCTCTTCCGAATGCACTGAGCATTCCCTGTGTCCAGAGGTAGGGCTAGCAGAAATAGATGGACGTCCTGCTTGTTTTCTGGTCACCTTTCCACTGAGCTTCAAGCCTGCAGACTGCAAGGATTGAGCTAGCTGAGCCCCCAAAGAGACTCAGTAGTCCAGAGTGTGGGTCTGAGTGGGAGGACTGCCCAGCCACACACCTTCCAGCTCTGTTCCTCCCAGGCCCTGGATGCTTCTTGCCATGCTGTCCTCTGAAATGATGCTCTGCCCTACAGACCTGTGGTAGGTGAGCTAGTGAGGCAGCACACCTGGGCTCTGGCCACCAGGCACCCCAGCCCTGGTGTGGGGTATCCTCATGGCTGCAGGCATTCCCTGGCCAGGCCTGGGTGCTTGTTCTCCCTCTCTCCTCTTCTCTTCTCCCCTCTCCCCACTCTCTCTGCCCTGTACTCCTTCTTTCTGCTGGTTTCCCCTGGACTCCTGCCATGCCCCCTAGTCTCTTTTTCCTGTGGATATGGGGCTAATTCCAGGCAATGGTGGCATTTAGACACAAGGCCCTAGATCCCACAAGGGAGGACTGGGAGGCACCTGATGCTCCTCAGAAAGAGGCTTGCAGGGACAGCACATGGGAAACTCATGGGGATGTGATCCATTTGGGTAAGGACTTGGATTTCAGGGGATGAGTTGGCTTCATTGCAAGATGCAGGTCCTTAGGTGAGTGGCCCCTGTCTCCAGCTGTAGTGCCCTATCAGGAAGCCTCTATATGAGCCTCCCTCCCTTCTGCAGGACCAGACTGGGATTGTTACGAACAGCCCAGGGGACTGGTTACATTCAACTTGCCTTGAAGGTTTTGCTGGGGAGTCCAGGTGCCCGTGCCTCCCACCTGCTGTCCATAGCCATCTCTGCACACCTGGCTGAGGCATTCCCAGACCTAACCTCAGATCATGTGCATGCTATGAACACTCCTAAGTGGCTAGGCCTCTTGCACCTGAGCAGGCGGCTTCCGCCCCAACACTGGGGCTTTCTCTGGGCTGTCCATCATGGGTATATCTCCGGATCCCAGGATTGCTAGTCAGCACCTCACATTTGAGGGTCTGTGCCATTCAGTCTAGAATCAGAGTTAGATGAGAAATCAACTTTGAACACCATCTTTAGGCTGATGCAGTGGCTCACACCCGTAATCTCAGCACTTAAGGAGGCTGAGGCAGGAGGATAGCCTGAGGCCAGGAGTTTGAGACTAACTCGAGCAACATAGTAAGGCCAGGTCTCTACAAAAAGTAAAATTATCCAGGTGTAGTGGCATGCACTTGCAGTCCCGGCTACTCAGGAGGCTGAGACAGGAAGGTTGAGGTTGAACCCAGGAGGTTGAGGCTGCAGTGAGCCACGATTGTGCCACTGCACTGCAGCGTGGGTGATAGAGGGAGCCCTTGTCTCAAACAACAACAAACAAATATCATCTTCGGGTATATTAATCAGATGGGGGAAGTCACACTGACATCAGTTGGCACCCACTGGCTAGTTTGTGCCAGGCAGGGAGACTGGGCTGTTTCCGGTAAACTGAAGCCTTCTCTTGAGCATGTGTTATGGTTTCCTGCCGGTTCACCTTCCTGCTATTATTGTCACAGCTCCCAACCACATCAGAGTGGACCTTGGGTATAATACCACGCAAAAATTTTTATCACTGTTTTCACCTTCTGTTCTCTAAAGAGAGAAGATAATTCCATATACTTTACGGCAAGTGACAAATACAGCAAGATAGTCAAACCAATGAAAAAGGTCGAAGGAAAGAGGAAGTCTTCCCCCTTGCTCTGCCACCTGAAGCAATTTGACGCTGTTTGCCTTGGGAGTGAGGAAATGCTGAGCATCCCCTCTCAGAAGGCAACAGCAACTTCGGCTACGGTGCAGAAAGAGAACGCGTGTGATGTGCTGCATGAGGCTCACGTCAGCATCTGGCATGGAGGGAAGCACAAGATGCTGGTGGAGCTGAAGAGGCAGCACGGGATGTGACAGAAGGTCATACCACATACTCCTGCCCGCAGACGTTAAATCTTGTGAAAGAAGGCATTACAAACTCGGGCTTGGTGGCTCAGGCCTGTAATCCCAGCGCTTTAGGAGACAAAGGTAGGAGAATTGTTTGATTCTCAACATTTCTCAGATGTTGGAGACCAGCCTAGGTAACATGGTGAGGGCCTTTCTCTACAAAAAATAAGTTAGCTAGGCATGGTGGTGCACACCTGTGGTCCCAGCTATTTGGGAGGCTGAGGCTGAAGGATTGCTTGATCCTGGGAGATTGAGGCTGCAGTGAGTCATTATCATGCCACACTGCACTCCAGCCTGGGGGACAGAATGAGATCTTATTTCCAAAAAATCAAATGGCATTGGAGTTTAGCTTGTGGTTTTCACGGAGACTCAGAGGTAGACCTCATTAATGTGTTTTTAAATTTTTAAAAATTTGGAGTCTTGCTTTGTCACCTAGGTTGGAGGGCAATTGTGTGATCTCGACTCACTGTAACCTGTGCTTCCTGGGTTCAAGTGATTCTCCTGCCTTAGCCTCCTGAGTAGCTGGGGTTACAGGCACCCACCATCATGCTGGGCTAATTTTTGTGTTTTTGTAGATATGAAGTTTCACCATGTTGGCCAAGCTGCTCTTGAACTCCTGACCACGGCTCCTTGCATGCCTGCTTCTCTGGCTTCAGCCTCAGCTCAAAGGGGCCCACATATAGCTTGGGTCATCACTCTGGAGAGGGCAAGCCAAAGCTTTGGTGGCTTCCACACGGTCTTAAGCCTGCAGGTGTACAGAATGCAAAAGTGAAGGAGGCGTGGCAGTTTCTACCTTGATTTCCGAGGATGTGGAAAAGCCTGAGTGCCCTAGCAGAAACCTGCTGCAGGGCAGAGCCCCCACAGAGAGATTCTACTAGGGCAATGCCAAGGGGAAGTGTGGGGTTGGAGTCCCTACACGGAGTCCCTACCAGGGCACTTCCTGGTGGAGCTGTGGGAACAGGGCTGCCACCCTGCAGACTTGAGAATGGTAGAGCCTTGCAAAGGGAAACCAGCAAAGACTTGCAAATTCAGCATGGAAAAGGTGCAGAGATGGAGCTTTCCAGGGCCTTGGGAGCCCACTCAGCACATTAGTGTGCCCAGGATGTGAGACATGGAATCAAGGGAGAATATTTTGAAGCTTTAAGATTTAATGTCTACCCTGCCGAGTTTCAAACTTGTGTGGGACCTATTACCACTTTCTTTTGGCTGATTTCTCCTTTGGAATGGGAATATCTACCCAATGGCTCTACCACTATCATATCTTGGAAGTAAATAACTTGTGTTTGATTTCACAGGTTCATAGGTGGAAGGAACATGTAATGAGTCTTGATGAGATTTTGGACTTTTAAGTTGATACTCGGAGCAAGTTAAGACTTTGGGGGACTATTCAGAAGTGATGATTGTATTTTGCAGTGTAAGAAGGACATGAAATTTGGGGGGCCAGGGGTGGAAAGATATAGTATGGATGTTCATCCCCTTCAAACCTCATGTTGACATGTGATTTCCAGTGTGGAAGTGGGTGGCCTGGTGGGAGATTTTGTGGTCATGAGTGGTGGATCCCTCATGAATGGCTTGGTGTCATGCCCATGGTAATGAGTGGATTCTCGATCTGGTAGTTCATGAGACAGCTGGTTGTTTAATAATGTGACGCCTCCCTTACCATCTTCTTGCTCCCACCTTACCATGTGATACGCTGGCTCCCCCTTTAACTCCTGCCATGATTGTAAGCTTCCTGAGACCCTCACCAAGAGCAGATGCCCCCCAACACCATGCTTCTTGCATAACCTGCAGAACTGTGGGCCAAAATCAATCTTTTCTTTATAAATTATCCAGCCTCAGGCATTCCTTGATAGCAACACACACACAAAAATAGAATAATATACTTTCCCATATTCTTTGCCCCTGAAGACCTTTTCCCAGTGTGAACCCTGATGGTCAATAAGAGAAGAGGTTTGACTGAAGGGTTTCCCAAGTTCATTGCATTCCAAAGACTTCTCTCTAGTACCCATCATCTCTGATTGAATAAAGGATTTTCTTCAATTAGGGGATTTTCTACATCAACTAAAATCCTTTTGAGCATAAATTCTCTGGCGTTTTAAGAGTAGAAGGCTGCATTGATAGAAGCCTTTTCCACATTCATGACATGCGCATGGTTTGTTTCCAGCATGAATTCTGCAGTGTCCAAAATGAGCCAGGTAGTCAGTTTATTACCACATTTACTGCCTTCCCAAAGCTTCTTCCCTGATCTGGCTGCCTGGGCACCACATTTCAGAAATCTCCTATATGCATGCTGGTGGTCCATAAAAGACTGACTTAAATTTTGGTAGCCTCTCTGTACATCATTAATATTTAAGAGGATATTTGTCACTTGTCCCAGATCTGTATGCTGGGCTGCCTTCTGATCCCCTCCTGTTACCCCTCAGTTGACCCTGGAACTCCAAGGCCTCATTCACTTGGATGTCAGAGCTCTTGGTGAGGAGGGATGATCTGTCATCATACATATCCTCTTTCTTAAGCCTTTGATTTGACAGAAACAAAAAATTAAGAGGTCTCTTGAGTACTGTGCTCAGAATTAGATAATATGCAACAATGAGCTTGGGGTAATAAATCATAACCTAATGCTTGGTGATCTTAATTACCATGTTGTTGGAATTCACAATTAGAAGAGCTTCCACTAATTAAATGCCTTCTATGGGCTAGACAAATTTCCTATCATATGTAACTAATGCATTTAATTCATACCACTACCCTCTAGGGTAGGTCCTGTCATTATCTCTATTATATAGATAATAAAATTGGAAGTAATTGCCAAAGGTTACACAGTAATAAAGTAAAAACAAAAGTAGTCAGGATACAGAAAGGATGCTTTTAACCACTTCATTTTACAGGGAAAATCCAGAAACAACTAAAATATCAATATATGTAGAGATTAGATCCAAGATGGCCGACCACTAACAGCTCAGGATTGTAGCTCCCAGTGAAAGCTCAGAGAACGAGACGACGCCACATCATTAGACGAATTTTCGTCACCCACCGATTAGCCGATTCCCAGTGGAGGAGCCCCACGGGTCGCCAGCGCGACTCTTGTGGCTGCCGCAGCGGTTTTGCCGGCGTCTCGGCGCAGCAGCTCTTCACGCAGAGCCAACGGGACTGCTTCCCCTACTGACCGGAGTTTGGAGCTCCAGGAAGTCAGAGCCGCTTGTTGCGGACTCAAGAGGGAAGCCAGACCAGAGATTCCCGGGCAGAAGAGCACCATCAGTCTTATCGCTGCTATTTAGGCTGCCACAGTGGGTTGCTCGGATCCCAGCACTGGGAATCAATAAGTCGGACGTCGACTCAGAAAACTAATTAGAAAGGCGGTTCATCTACAATGAAGGGAAAAAAACAGCCTAAGAAGGCCGAGTATACTCAAAATCAGAACCCATCAGAAACGGAACAAGCCCTGATGGAAAAGGACTCATCAGCAACTGAACAAGCCCTGATGGAAGAGGACTCATCAGTAACGGAACAAGCCCTGATGGAAAAGGACTGTGTTCCATTATCTGAAGTAGGCTTTAAAAGGTGGATGATAAGAAACTTCTGGGAGTTAAAGGAACTTGTTCTAACCCAATGTAAAGAAACCAAGAACTTGGAAAAAAGATTAGATGAAATGTTGAAAAGAATAGACAATATAGAGAGGAATACAAATGAACTTATGGAGTTGAAAAATACAACACGAGAACTCAGTGAAATATGTACAAGCTTAAACAGCCGAATGGATCAAGCAGAAGAAAGGGTATCAGAGGTAGAAGACCAACTTAATGAAACAAAATGACAAGACAAGAATAGAGAAAAAAGGATAAAAAGGAATGAGCAAAGTCTCCAAGCAATATGGGACTATGTGAAAAGACCTAATATACGCTTGATTGGTGTACCTGAATGTGAGGGAGAGAATGAAGTCAAGCTGGAAAATACTCTCCAGGACATTATCCAGGAAAATTTTCCTAATTTAGCAAAGCAGGACACTATTCAACCCCAGGCAATACAGAGAACACCACAAAGATATTCCTCAAGAAGACCAACCCCAAGGCACATAATCGTTAGATTCACCAAGATCGAAACGAAGGAGAAAATATTAAGGGCAGCCAGAGAGAAAGATCAAGTTACCCATAAAGGTAAGCCTATTAGGCTTACAGCAGATCTCTCAATGGAAACCCTACAAGCTAGAAGAGAGTGGGGGTCAATATTCAATATACTTAAAGAACAAAACTTTCAGCCCAGAATTTCATATCCTGCCAATTTAAGCTTTACATTTGAAGGAAAAATAAAATCTTTTAGGAACAAGCAAGTACTCAGAGATTTTATTACCACCAGGCCTCCTTTACAAGAACTTCTAAAAGAAGCATTATACACAGAAAGGAACAATCAGTATGACCCTTTCTAAAAATACATCAAAAAGTAAAGAGCATTAACACAAAGAAGAATTTTTATCAACGAAAGGACAAAATAGCCAGTTAACAAATGGCAGCAACCCTAAATTTAAATCGACCAAATCTCCCAATCAAAAGATACAGACAAAATCTAACGGTATATCCAAAGATATACATAGACTGAAAATAAAGGGTTGGAAAAAAAAAAAAAAACAAATGTGGGTGAAGGGGAGAAGAAAAGCAAAGCACACTGCCATGTGTGTACCTACGCAACTGTCTTGCATGCTCTGCTCATGTACCCCAAAACCTATAATCCAATAAAAAATTAAAAAAAAAAAATGTACCAACCAAATGGAGAGCAAAAATAAATAAATAAGAAGCAGGAGTTGCAATTTTCACATTTGACAAAATAGATTTCAAAGCTACAAGGATACAAGGGTAAAAGGATTAATGTAATAATAAGAGATCTTAACACCCAGATACATAAGACCCATAATGAGATTTAGATTCAATGAGACAACAAATTGATAACGATACCCGGGACTGGAACTAAGATCCAGAACAAATAAACTCAATAGAGCTCTCCATGTTAAACACACAAAATATATATTATCCACAAAATCTAACGATATATCTGAAGATATACAAAGACTCAAAACAAGGGGATGGAAAAAAAACTCACCAACCAAATGGAGAGCAAAAATAAATAAATAAAAAGCAGGAGTTGCAATTCTCACACTTAATAAAATAGATTTCAAAGCTACAAGGATGCAAGGGTAAAAGGATTAATGTAATAATAAGAGATCTTAACACCCAGATACATAAGACACATAATGAGAGTTAGATTCAACGCGACAACAAATTGATAACGATATCCAGGACTTGAACTCAGAGCCAGAACAAATAAACACAATAGAGGTCCCCATTTTAAACACATAAAATATGCATTAACCACTTTAAACACTCAAAATATTGATCGGCCATTATTGAAACCCATTTTAGGAATGAAGTAATATTCCTTTTTCCCTCTTTTTCTTTCTTTCCCCTTCTTTTTCTCTAAAAAAAAAAAAATATATATATATATATGTAATATTAGGTATTTTGTAGAAATTTTGAAGATAATATGGCCTGGGTGGATGCTTATTTTAATGTTAGATTAAAATAGCAGGCCGCAGATTACTTACGTGTACACATTAAAAAGTTGTTAAAAGCCATTTGTAAAAATAAAAGCAGATCCTATGTTGGGTGGTGGTAGATTACAGGTGACTTTTCATTTTTCAAGTAGTTGTAATAAATAAAATGTTCTCCTACTCTGGGAATCTGGTTAGGTATATTATTCAGACCAATCTTGTCTCCTGAAGAAAACTAAAAGTGCTACATAAATAGTAAAAAGCATCTTGTCAAAACTTTCTAATACCGGCTCGACCAGTAAGAAATGATCAACTCCAGTCTAAGGCACTGCTGGAGGTACATAGGGCCTGAAGTTTAACTTGAAACTAATAACAGAACTCCTCCTGTGATTACAAATCCAAAACACACTGCTAAATATTACATGAGTCAGACACAAAATTGCAATTAGAAAATATTTAGAACTGAACAATTAAAAGGTGATATATAATTCCAGTCATGTTTTTACCTGGAAAAAGTGACATATATGATAATTTATAGGCTAAACCTATATTAGTCAGGGTTCTCCAGGAAACAGGACCAATAGAATGTGTGTATATAGATTTATACACTAGTGCCAGCACCTTGCAAACTACGGACTTGCCTTACCTGATTGTGTAAGCTGAGAGGTTCCAGGATCAGCAAGGTGAAGAGCCAGGAAAGCTCATTTGTAGTTCCAGTCTGAGTACAAAGGCTGGAAAAGTGTAATGTCCCTGCTCAAAGCAGTCACGCTGGAGAAGTTTCCTCTCAATTAGCCCTCTTGTTCCATTAAGGTCTTCAACTCATTGGGTGAGATACACCCGCATTAGGGAGGGCAACCTCCTTTACTCAGTCTGCCAATCCACATGTTAGTCTCATCCAGAAACTCCCTCATAGACACACCCAAAATAATGCTTGACCAAATATCTTGGAACCCTGTTTCCCAGTCAAGTTGGTGCAAAATGAACTATCACAAAATTTCAATCAGCATTTAGAGAGAAATTTATACCCTTATCGTGTATGACAGAAAAAGAAAATGCTTAAGAATAATCCAACTCGCCGGGTGCTGTGGCTCAAGCCTGTAATCACAGCACTTTGGGAGGCCGAGGCGAGTGGATCACGAGGTCAAGAGATCGAGACCATTTTGGTCAACATGGTGCAATCCCATCTCTACTAGAAATACAAAAAATTAGCTGGGCATGGTGGCACGTGCCTGTAATCCCAGCTACTCAGGAGGCTGAGGCAGGAGAGTTGCCTGAACCCAGGAGGCGGAGGTTGCGGTGAGCCGAGATGGCGCCATTGCACTCCAGCCTGGGTGACAAGAGCGAAACTCCGTCTCAAAAAAAAAAAAAAAAAAAAAAAAAAAAAAAAAAAAAAAAAAAAAATTTAAAAAAATAACATAAAAAAAAAAGAGAAAATTAAAGTGAATGAGAGTGGGAAGAAGGAAATAATAGGAGAAATTAATGAAACAAAAAAATTAACAGTAGAGGAATAACAAAACCATAAGTTGGGTTTTATTCCGCCCCCCCACTCCCCTCCCATCTCCTCTCCTCCTCTCCTCTCCTCTTCCCTCTCCTCCCCTCCCCTCCCTGTGAAAAGCCTCTGAGTTTCTCCTGGCTGGGGAACCCCAGAGAGGAGCACAGGGTTTCTAGCTATGGCTGTTAATGCCCTGGAGGCACCCAGACTCTTTCTTAGGTCCCTGGAAGCCTGGTTAAAGCTTCTGCCCCCATGCCTGTCTTATCCCAGTCTCACCCAGTGAGTGCAGGCTCCAGAGGGTCTCCAGTGATACCTACAGTACAGGGTCCTCTGGTTGGCTCCAGCTACTCCCATTCATCCTGAGGTGTGTAAAGGTCATTAGACCTTGGCATGACAGCCATTCCTGGCTCATGGGGAAGGCCTGAATGGGATAGAAGGGCCTGGTAGGTGTGCAGGCCCACAGGTGCAGGGTACAGCCCCAGGTCCTCCTTCAGGTTTATTCCTGAGGTAGGAGGTGGGACTTGACTCTGGAGGTGGGGTTCTGACAGCAGATCAAATTGAGGACGAGCTTAAATGGGATAGGGCAGAAGCACCTTTCCAAAAGATAGGCCCACCAGTGTGCCATGTCATTTTATCATTGCCGTGACATGGCGAAACCTCATTTTTACTAAAAATGCAAAAATTAGCCGGGCACAGTGGCGCAAGCCTGTAGTCCCAGCTACTTAGGAGGCTGAGGCAGGAGAATCGCTTTAACTTAGGAGGTGGAGGTTGCAGTGAACAAAGATAGTGCCACTGCACTCCAGCCTGGGTGATAGAGTGTCTCAAAACACACACACACACACACACACACACACACACACACCCCTAACATTATTCAGAACAAAGTTGCCACTCACCCTTTTGGAGTTTTCTGTTTTCTTTGTGGAGTTTCAACAGTCGCGGGCAGATTCTTCTTATGTCTAAAGCTCTCTGTTTTTCTGCATTGCATGACCTGACTTCTTTGACTTTGCAGGTACCAGAGATTACTTTGTACTGTGGGGGGATTGGCCTTGGTGTGTGTAATGGTGGATAAGACCTACAAAATAGGGGTGGCTGAGCACGGTTGACAGAAAGTGGTTTTTGGCTGTTTTTTAAAAAAATATCCTAGGAACTTGTTGTTAAAGGATTCTAATTCTAGTTGAGAGGTGAATTCTAAGGGGTCTCCTCTATTGCTTTTTTTTTCCAAAATTAATCTTGATTTGGCTTGTCTGTGTGCATTGGTGTGAGAAACTGAACTGTGGTTTTCATAGGTAAATGAGAGACTGAGTTTTCTCAGCTCTGGAGAGAAAGGGTATTTGCTCCTCTCAGCCAAAAGGTGCCCCTGGGTGACTGGGGCCTTGTGGGAGTGCCTGGGGGATTGACCACCCATGACGTGTGTCAGCCCCACAGGGAAATCCCCAACAAAAATTAATTTAAGAAAAAAGGCTCATCCAGGAAACATACATAAGGGCTAATCACCCAGTGTTTTAAGCCATCTCAGAGGCATGTAAGAGAGTGGCAAATGGAAAATGAATAATCTAAGAATGAAGGGAAAACAAGGAGAATGACCCTCTGTTAAGCACTCTATGTGCCAGAGTTTATGTAAAATGGTCTTTGTGCAGATTTACATTAAGGAAAAAGAGCCCTAAGGTCAACCTACAAACTATAGAGTTCCTAAATTCTCTGTTTTGCTTTTCTCCCTGCTTTAAATCTCCTTTTCTTTTTCTTTTTTTTTTTTTTGAGATGGAGTCTTGCTCTTGTCTGCCAGGCTGGAGTGCAATGGTATGATCTCAGCTCACTGGAAAATCTACCTCTCTGGTTCAAGTGATTCTTCTGCCTCAGCATCCTGATTAGCTGGGATTATAGGTGCATGCTGCCATGCCTGGCTAAGCTTTGTATTTTTATTTTTATTTATTTATTTATTTTGAGATGGAGTTTCGCTCTTGTTACCCAGGCTGGAGTGCAATGGCGAGATCTCGGCTCACTGCAACCTCCGCCTCCTGGGTTCAGGCAATTCTCCTGCCTCAGCCTCCTGAGTAGCTGGGATTACAGGTACGCGCCACCACGCCCAGCTAATTTTTTGTATTTTTAGTAGAGACGGGGTTTCACCATGTTGACCAGGCTGGTCTCGAACTCCTGACCTCAGGTGATCTGCTTGCCTGAGCCTCCCAAAGTGCTGGGATTACAGGCATGAGCCACTGTTCATGGCCTATTTTTCTTTTAAGATAAAAATCACTGTTTAGATCCAAGAGGTTCTTTTGGAAAGTTGGTGAATTTGTATTTATCTCATCGCTAAAGTTCGGAAGTAAAAACTATAGGATCTTTGTGTTTGTGCCTATATGTATTTAAAAGGCTTTTATAATCTCTATAATTTTATGTTTCATTGGCAATCAAATCCACTTTAGTTTCCCTCTAGCACACCAGACTATTTTTCTCTGTACATTATGATGTCAATTTTACTATTTGATTTTCACCTGCATTGTTTCCTGTAATATGAAAATTTAGGGCTGTTTAGCTGACAACTGCCTAGTTTAGTAAAATAGGTTATCGGGCCGGGCGCGGTGGCTCACGCCTGTAATCCCAGCACTTTGGGAGGCCAAGGCGGGTGGATCACGAGGTCAAGAGATTGAGACCATCCTGGTCAACATGGTGAAACCCCCTCTCTACTAAAGATACAAAAAAATTAGCTGGGCATGGTGGTGCGTGCCTGTCCCAGCTACTCAGGAGGCTGAGGCAGGAGAATTGCCTGAACGCAGGAGGCGGAGGTTGCAGTGAGCCGAGATCGCGCCATTGCACTCCAGCCTGGGTAACAAGAGTGAAACTCCATCTCAAAAAAATAATAATAATAATAATAATGCATACAGACACACAGTATCATGGACCTGAGATAATCTCTTCACAAATGTTCTCTTCTGGGCTTGGATTAGATTGGAGTAAATGACTGAGTACCTGTGTTTGTGTGTGTATTTGGTTTGAATTGTGTCTTTTCTGGTGTAAGAAAAGTGACAAGTTCCCAACTTTTGGCATATTTAGGCCACAAAGAGAAAGAAAACAAACTAGACCCTGACAAACAGACTGATACAAGTTCAACAAGAGCAATAACACTATGGGCTTTGTGACTTTGTGTTATATACTTAACTTTCCTGCTCTACTCATATGCCTCTCACATGAAAATGAGAATTGTAGTTTGCACTAAAGTTGTAGGTAAAATGTTGACTATATAAACATTCTGAGTCTATTTAGGTATTCAATAGCTAGCAGCCAAGAAACTGGAAGCAAAATCATCCTAATTTCTGACCTCTATTGTGTGTGTGTATATGTGTATACATGTTTCTATACTGAGTTACTTATTATTTTTCTCCTCCCTTTCTTGAGGGAAGAGAAAAATAAAAAGTAACTCAGTCTCCTGCATTTTCAGTCTGGGTCCTTCTACAGCTCTTTCATGTAATCATGTATTTACCTGCATCTTTTATGAGTGTGTTGAGTGTCTTGAAGCTATTATTTTACAGAAAGGTGAGACTATGGGGAACTTCCTCACTCACATGCTTCTGTATCATCACGGTCGTGCTGACTCAGTAGGGCCACAAAGGTGTTTGGGTGGTCATGGACATAGGAATAGGAGCAAAGCCAGGCACTTTTCTTTCATTAGGCATCATAGGAGCCCCTGTGCTCTCTGCTGTCAGGCAGTGGAGGTGCTATTTGCTCTGTCCTGAGGGTGCACCCAAAGCCTGAGCTTCACAGTTTGTATGTAGAAACTCAAGTCACACCACAGTGACATGCGGGACAATGTAAAGTTCTGTAGTTCTGTAAAGTCTTCTAACACCATGGAAAATAATGCCTCCTCTATGATCCTGTAACACCAGGGACTTCCCTCTTCCCTCGAAGTTTTTACCATCTACTCTTTAAGTCTATAAATGGGGGGGAATGATATCTCTGCTAATCTACCTTATGTTTTTTGATACGAAACCATATGGGACTAAAATTATTGTCAGTTTCCATCATTATCCTACTTAATTCAAAAGAAGGTGAATGTATTGTAACACTCAAATAGTGATTATGATGTTAATAAAAATACCTACCATAAATTTGGAGTGTTAAGCACCAGAAAACCTTGCATTTTCCAGTTTAATACTCTAAGAAAGAAGGTGTGTGGAATTCTATTATTATAGCTGTCTTTATATTACTGGCCAGGTCCCCAAGTATTAAATCATATGTCCAGTAGAATCCACCTGAGCCACACATGGCTGCGTGTTCTTTCCTAGTGAGCAGAGCTTCCATGTGTCCTGATTCATTGTTCTTTAGTGCTTTTGGTTAAAGCGCTTGTCCCTGTTTTCCTCCTGCTGGTCTCCTTTTTATTCTCCAACTAAATCCAAATGTTTTGGACTCTGGGCAACTTTCACATATTCCTTGGTGTTATTTACTTCCTTCAGAAGTTTGCATCTTTCTTTTCTTTTCTTTTTTTGAGACAGAGTCTCACTCTATTGCCCAGGCTGGAACACAGTGGCATGATCTCAGCACCCTGCAACCTCCAATTCCTGGGTTCAGCAATTCTCCTGCCTCAGTCTCCCCAGTAGCTGGGGTTACAGGCACCTGCCACCATGCCTGACTAGTTTTTTTCTTTTTTTTTAGTAGAGATGGGGTTTCCATCTCTACTAAATATCAGCAGCCACACTGGTTTTGAACTCCTGATCACTCAAGTGATCTGCCCACCTTGGCCTCCCAAAGTGCTAGGATTATAGGCATGAGCCACCACACCCAGCCAGGTCTGCATATTTCTTATTCAAAGAATTTAGCGTAAATTGTAATGATGTGTTTGAGTTTCTCCTTCTGAAATCAGAAGCAACATCTGAACACCAATCACTGAGTTGAGAACCAAGTGGGAATTCAAGAAATATGAAGAAAAAGAAGAAATCTGAGCTTTGGTGAGTAGGTGCCATCCACATGAGTCTGCTCAGGGTTAGAGAAAATGTTTTTGTCTGTGTGACAGGGCCTTGCTAATTTGTAACCCTCCACTTCAACAGTGAGAGACCTAGTTCCTACCGTCTGTGACTTATGTAACTCATTGTTTTATTCCAGATGTAGATATTGTGGTTTTACAATTGTTCACAATTACCCGTTGGAAAGAACTTTATAAAATGGAATTCAATGATAAAGTGTAGTTCATTTGCCTTCAGCCTACAAATTCTATTCATTTTCAAAGAGACTTAGGTCAGCACCATTTTCCCTACAGCTTCAGTGAGTTTTCCCACATTTGTGTCTTAGTACATTTTGTGCTTCTGTAACAGAATACCTGAGGCAGGGTGATTTGTAAGTAAAAAAGGATCATTTGGCTCACCATGCTGGTGGTTGGAATGTCTGAGATTGGGCAGTTGCATCTGGTGGGGCCTCAGTCTTTTTCACCTCATGGTGGAAAGTGGAAGGGGAGCAAGGGGTGCACCAGAGATCACAGCAAGAGTGAAAGCACGAGGGAAGCCAAGGAAGCCAGACTCTGTTTAACTATCTACTCTTGCAGGAATTAATCTATTCCTGTGAGAGCAGACGGAACTCACCCCCATGGGAGAACATTAATCTATTCATGGGGGATCGATCTCCATAATCCAAACACCTTCCACTAGGCCCGACCTCACCACACTGCCACATTGGGGGTCAAATTTCAACATGAGTTTTTGCAAGGACAAACCACATCCAAACTGTAGCAATTTGTAGCATAGTTAAAATAATTTTCACTGTGCTGGGATACTCCACATCCTGAATAATAATAATTATATTATTATTATTATCCTGAGTAGCTGGGATTACAGGCATGTGCCACCACGCCCAGCTAATTTTCTGTATTTTTAGTAGAGACGGGGTTTCACCATGTTGACCAGGATGGTCTCGATCTCTTGACCTCGTGATCCACCCGCCTTGGTCTCCCACAGTGCTGGGATTACAGGTTTGAGCCACCGCGCCTGGCCCTGAATAATATTATTTAATTAGAATAGAGTTTTATTTACCCATTTAGCTGTGAAATTCTGCATGTTTCGACAAATGCATAGTGGCAGGTATCCACTATTGAAGTATCATATGGAATGCTTCAAACCCACACCCCATGCAGCCCAAGGCTTCCTATCTGTGTAGTTTCCCTTCTCCAGCATCTCATTAAATGAGGTCACACTATGTGGATTCTCCTAATACATTAGTTGGGGAGATAATACTTGCCTTCTTGTTTCACAAGTATCACCATGGTACAATGGCAGGATGCAGTTTGCAAAGAGATAAAAATAGCCGAAAGATAAGAAACAAGACTAGAATCTGATAATCCTCAAGGGCTATAGTTTTCTTATTTAACAATATTTTTTGAGACAGGGTCTCTCTTTATCGCTGAAGTTGGAGTGCAGTGGTGCAAGCTCAGCTCACTTCACCCTCTATCTCCTGGGTACAAATAAGCTTCCATCCTCAGCCTCCTGATTAGGTGGGACTACAGGCACATATCATCATGCTTAGCTGATTTTTGTGCTTTTAGTAGAGACAGGGTTTCACCATGTTGCCCAGGCTGGTCTTACAGGCACATACCATCATGCTTAGCTGATTTTTGTGTTTTTAGTAGAGACAGGGTTTCACCATGTTGCCCAGACCCCAATCTGGCTTGTCTCTTTGACAAGCAGACCCTGGGAGACAGTGATAATGAAAGCTAAGCCTTCAGCTAATTTACCCATAGCCACGGGGTGACTTCCCTGGTCACCAAGACAGAGCCTGCATATGGGGGTTTCCTTTACCTTTTCTATAAGTTGTACCAAAACATCCACTTAAGTTGTTTGTACCATTCCTTCAAATAAAGAAATCTGGTACTGGAAAAAAAAAAAAAAAGAACAAGAGTTGACCACATAGGTGCTTTCAAGCTTTGCTGGAAGTTTCCATACAGAATCTCAGACTGGACTTTTAAAGGCCTTATTGAGGCTAAAGCCAAGCCCAGAACATACTATCAAATTTCAGCTGCAGTCCTTATAGCTTTGGATGAATTCCTCTCTTCTTGAGGCCCCCAAATTATCCCCCAATTCCTGAGCCTACAAGGAAATGACCTTCCTTACCTGTAAGGCTGTAAACCCTGTAATCTAGGTATCAGGCTGGCTTTTCTCAGAGTGATTTGTAAGGATGGGCTCCATAAAAGTCAACCTTAGATCCTTAAAATTGCTGGTCATAACTGATCTTAGGCACACCATTCCTAAAGATGATATTCCAGTAAAAGCCTTGACAATATAACCAAAGTTTCCAGTTACGTCCTGTTGTAAGGTGAATAGATTCTTATTGGACTTCTGCTAACAACTATATTGTCATGAAAATTAGCGTATTCAGTAAGAATTTCAAAATTCTGGAGAAATCAGTTGGGGAAAAAAGATAAATGCTTCATTTCTATTTACAAAAATGTAATCTACTAAATTGTTGTGAGTGCTAGTTAGCTTAAGAGAAAGAGATTTCTTAAATCCAGAAACTGTAACATTAAAGAACCAGCAATGCTCAAAGGAAGCTATAAAATTATAATCAATTTTCATCACTTCATTCAGTGCCATGTAATCAATTCTAGTCTTGCTGAATCTTGGGTTAGCAGCATCATAAACCCATCAGTTTCTCAACTAGACTTCTGGACAGCTTCACTGAGTCAAGTGTATGGTCTTAAAGTTATTTAAGTGATATCATCAGAAGCCTGTAACCAGAGTACCCATCACAGTGTTTTCTGTGAGTCTCGGAGTCCTGTGTTGGAGACAAACATTCTGACCCATAGCTGATTGCAGGAGCATTTAGGAATGTATTGGGGCTAAATAATATCTAAATGACAAAGAACATGAAATGGCTGTGATGAAAGATCTGTGATGAGAGTTCACTGTATCACAACTGACAAGGATATTCAATTTTGCCAGTGGCATACAGCATTTAAAATAATAATTGAAAATACAACTCATAACACTATACCAGCATATAGCATGGATAAGGAGGACACTGACAAATTTCCAGGAATTTTATATAATTTCTGAAAACAACATTTTACCAATTCAAGTATAACACAAGGAAGGTTAGATATCTCTTTTTACTTGTATATTTTGTATAGTTTTTCTTATAAAAATGCAACCTACTTTATTTGCATAACTTGCCCTACTTTTCCTGCATACTTTGCATAGAGTTGTTTCTAGTTATTTTATTATTTCTAATAATTTTATTTATGTATAGATTATATTTTTAAGACTTAGCAATCTTTATTTTCCAGAGTACAGTAGGAAGTAGAGAATTTTAAATGGTCATATATTAACATTCTATAGTAGATTAGAAAATGTATGAGTATACAATCTCCCAACATCTAGAGTGATGTTTCCTCATAGTACAATTTCTCAGTGTTGTAGACAAAAAAAAAAAAAAAAAAAAGTTTATTAACAGGCAAAAATATCTTTATTGTCTCCGTAAAAATAGGGAACAAAAGTATATAAAGTTGGATTAGTTATGTTCAGTAATTAATGTTTTAGTATTGTATCTTATTTATAAATGATCTAGATATTTAATGCAAATCTTTTAGTTAGCTTAACTTTAAGGTTAAAAATTACCAAAAGTACTTCAGAAACTATTATTGGGCAGATTTACTGTAAAAAATAATGAAATAATGTTTTTTTAATAAGAAGAACAGCTTAATTAGAATCAATCTATAAGCTTTAAAATTTTAAGTATCGGGCCGGGTGCGGTGGCTCACGCCTGTAATCCCAGCACTTTTGGAGGCCAAGGTGGGTGGATCACGAGGTCAACAGATCGAGACCATCCTGGTCAACATGATGAAACCCTGTCTCTACTAAAAATACAAAAATTAGCTTGGCATGGTGGCGCGTGCCTGTAATCCCAGCTACTCGGGAGGCTGAGGCAGGAGAATTGCCTGAACCCAGGAGACGGAGGTTGCAGTGAGCCGAGAATGTGCCATTGCACTCCAGCCTGGGCAACAAGAGCGAAACTCCATCTCAAAAAAAAAAAATTTTTAAGTATCTAGTAAGTATAATATTAGCTTATTTGAGTAGAACTCAAGAAGAATAGAAATTTATGTTTGTTTTATATTCAAAGTGATAGTTCTGAAGCTATAGTTGTTTTACTACACCAAAAATATTAAATTCATCTTATTTAACTATGTTTTATGTAAATTGTGTTAACTTGAAAAACATTTATATCAGTTTCTATGTTTCTAGGAGTTTGGGGAATATTTATGTATAAATGCTTATTTTTTTTCAAGCTAAGTTAGAATAGAGCATTTTTAGAGGATTTTATAAATGAATTTTTCATTGCTATCTGGAGTTAATAAAATATCACATATTCATAACATACATTAATATGCATAAAGCACAAATAGAGATCTCATAGGTTTCATCCTAAAATTTTAGCCATGAATCAGGCATACATAGTCTCATGGTTAATTTTAGAGATCTGCTTGATTGGATTAAGAGATACATAACTGGCAAACCAGTTTCAATATTTCTACTCATTTGATTACAAGTTCTCACTCATCTAAACTAATTAAAAAATGAGAATTTCTAGAACTTCTGTGGGACAGTATGGAAGGTCTTTTGAACACTGTCAACTGAAGAATGATGAGGTTCATAAATTTGGAAAGGAGAGATTTCGGTTTCTACATTTTTATTTATTTTTATTTTTTTGAGAAGGTGTTTCACTCTTGTTGCCCAGGCATGAGTTCAATGGTGTGATCTTGGCTCACTGCAACCTCCACCTCCCGGGTTCAAGCAATTCTCCTGCCTCAGCCTCTCAATTAGTTGGGATTACAGATGTCCATCACCATGCCTGGCTAATTTTTTTATATTTTTAGTAGAGACAGGGTTTCACCATGTTGGCCAGGCTGATGTCAAACTTCTGAACTCAGGTGATTCACCCACTTAGGCTTCCCAAAATGCTGCAACTACAGGCATGAGGGCCTGCACCCAGTGAGAGATTTACTTCCTGTAAAGGGTTGCAGCCTGCAGGGTAGTCCTTCCAACAGGCTGGGAAGCATAGACTCCAGCCAGAAGCCAGAAGCAGACACTTTAAGGGAGAGGTAGAGGAAACAGTAATTTATGCTGAGTGGCATGGCCAAATACACATATTTAATAAGCTCTAGGAGGAGTCATGAATATTTATGAAAGGAGAAATGCATGCAATCGCAGTTGAGTTTCTTACTTCCTCATGGGTCCCATGTACAAAAAAAATGGCAGTGTTACTATGATGACAGGGTAAAGGGCGAAGTTTTCAGTCTTCTGACATCAAAAGGTGAAGCAGAGGACATGAAAACTTGCTCTGTGCATCCTCTGTATACTGTCCAGACCCTCTCTGTCATGGGTGCTCTCTTATCAGGCGAGAAAGGAGAGGCAGCTTCAGGCAGATGGTTGATATCAGTGGTGGAGTCTTTTGAAAGGGCTGGTTTCTCTTAAATCTTTGGTGTGGTGTCTCTTCAGATTTGTATGCAACTTTAATTGGGCTTCTTTACTTAGTTTTAAGATATTTTTGCATATTGAATACAAATTCTTTCTCAGATGTGTATTTTGCAAATAGTTTCTTTCAATATGTGGCTTTTCTTTTTATTCCCTTAACAAGATCTTTTCCAGAGTATACACTTTTAATATTAAAAAAATCCACCCAATTCTTTCTTTGGTGTGTATTGACAGTTTGTGTTGTTAAAATTCATTACTGAACCCAAGAGCAGATAGCTTTTATTCTACGTTTTCTTCTAGAAGTCGTATAGTTTTGCATTTTTAGTGTAAGGATGATTTTGAGTGATTATTTTTATAAGTTGCAAAGTTTTCATCTACGTTCATTTCATTTCCTATGGTTTCCAATGAATCGTTCCTTCACTTATTTTGGGAAAGACACAGGATAGTGGGCTCTGTTAGAGTCGGTAGATAGCTAGACACGAACATGATGGGAAGGCTCACCTGGAGGGACCATAAAAAAATTATATATTAGGCCGGGTGCGGTGGCTCAAGCCTGTAATCCCAGCAGTTTGGGAGGTCAAGACGGGTGGATCACGAGGTCGAGAGATTGAGACCATCCTGGTCAACATGGTGAAGCCCCGTCTCTACTAAAAATACAAAAAATTAGCTGGGCCTGGTGGTGCGTGCCTGTAATCCCAGCTACTCGGGAGGCTGAGGCAGGAGAATTGCCTGAACCCAGGAGGCAGAGGTTGCGGTGAGCCGAGATCGCGCCATTGCACTCCAGTCTGGGTAACAAGACTGAAACTTCGTCTCAAAAAAAAAATTATATATTAGTAGCATCTCTACTGCTAGAGTGGATGGGCACCTGTCACTTGTGGGTAGGAGGAAGAAGAGGTACCTATGCAGAAAGAAACACCCTAGAATTCCTCTTAGGGTGCCCCAATCATCATTCACTCTACAGTTAAAATGTCAGAAAATTGCTATCACCACACATGTGCCTTAACCAATAGTGAGGAGGCCCCACAAGCCAAAGAGGGGCAAGTCAGGGACCTAAGGTAGGAGCAGAAAAACAAGACAAAACAGGTGGAGAGTTCAGAATGAGGCAGGAATGTGAAGAAGTACAAAATAAAATTCCCTGCACAGGACTCTTGGGGCTGTTTTCCTGCACAATCAGCCTGCTCCTACTTATATTTTCTATAAGAAGCTCTTTACACTGTATTTATTTTCAATAAAGTTATCTGCCATCTTTGTACTGCCTCTTGGTTCAAATCTTTCTTCCAAGTTAGATGAGAACTGAGACATCAGCTCTTTCCAGTAATAGTTCCATTTCAGTTTGAATTTCCAGAACTGTGGGTGCTGAATAACTGGCTCTCTGACCTGCAGAAGGAGGCCAGTGGGGGGCGCCAGACATCACACTGGGAGCAAGAGGGCCCTGCAGTGTCCCAGCTGCCAGCAGGGGACGTGCTGCCACAACACCGAGCAAGAGGGTCCTGCAGTGTCCCCAGCTGCCAGCAGGGGGCATGCCACCACTACACTGTGAGCAAGAGGGCTCTACAGTGTCCCAAGCAGCCAGCAGGGGGCGTGCCGCCACTACACTATGAGCAAGATGGCCCCGCAGTGTCCCAGCTGCCAGCAGGGGGTGTGACGCCACTACACTGAACCAGAGGGCCCTACAGGGCACCGAGCAGCCAACAGGGGGCACACGAATACCACACCATGAGCAAGAGGACCCTGCGGTGCTCTAGTTCCCAGCACGGGAGTGCTGCCAGGACACTATGAGCAAGAGGGTCTGGCAGTGCCCCCAGCGGCCAGCAGGGGGCATGCCTCCACTACACGCGAGTAAGTGCCCAGCAGCACAGGCACCACACCATGAGCAAGAGGACGTAGCATTGCCCTGGTTGCCAGCAGGGGGCATGTTGCCACTACACTGTGAGCAAGAGGGCCCTGCAGTGCTCGGCCCCCAGCAGGGGGCGCCCACGCCCGCCTTTCAAATTCCTGAGGCTCTGCCACTGGTGCGCATCCTGTCACACCGCCGCGGTGTGTTGCGTCACAGCGGTCTGAAGAGTTGCGTTCTCCACTGTACAGAACTGGGGGGCATTGTGAGGGCGGAGCTGCATCCTCCTCAACACAGACCCTGGGGCGGGGTTCTTACTGCAAGAGGGCCTTGCAGTGGCCCTAGCTGCTATTGGGGGTGCGGGCACAGGACCAGGAGCAAGAGGGCCCGGCACTGCCTGGCCACCAGCAGGGGGCGCCCGAGCCCGCCTTTTCAGATGGTGCGTCCCGTCACCGCGGTCTGCGGAGTTGCTTTCTCCTCAGTACAGACCTGTGGGGCGCGGTGAGGGCGGAGCCTCGGTTCGGGACCACTCTGGGCCGCGTCCACGGTGAGTAAAACCCTTCCCGTTTGCAGCCTGACTGCGTAGGGTCAGAGACTAGTAAGAAGATCTCGGTGTGGAAAACTGGACAGGAAGAGCCCCTCTGAATCCTGCGCACTGAGGTTCTCCCCACCAAGGCCGGCGGCTGCAGTGCGAGGTGCACACCGCAGGCTCAGAAGACAAGTGGAGCGTTCCTAAGGCAGATATGGCATCCGAAATGGAATGCGACACCCCAGTGCTCAGGTAGAAAATGTGTGATGTTACTGGTTCAACAAAAGCCAGGAAAAACAACTTTGTAGTAATCAGAATGTTATCCAACTGTATATTGTTTACTTTATTGTAAATACTGGTGAACAGTGGTTAATAAATAGTTTTATATTCCTTTATGCAAAAAAAAAAAAAAAAAAAGAAAAAGAAAACGTGTGATGCTAATGCGGGGCCTCAAGTCCAAATAAGTTACTATCAAATCCGCAGTACTCATGCGGCCTTGACAGTGCAGCCGTTTTCATAATCAACACTGACATGTCTGAAAACGTAGAAACTAAGTATGGTTAGGGTCTAGGGTGAGGATGAGGGCTAGGGAATAGGGTTAGGGTTAGGGGTTAGGATATAGGGGTTAGAAGAATTTTAGGCAAAATAAATTTAAACAGTTTATTTGAGCAAAGGAATGATTCATTAATCATGCCTGAAGCACGAGAATGGAAAACCGGGCTTGGGGCTTCGAGCTCTTAGCGGTGGCAGCTAAGTGAGGTGTGTCATCGGCTCCAGCTGGGTGACCGCCTGCTGTTGGGGATGGTTCCCTCAGCGTCCCTAGTCATACAGCCAGCTGGCAGCTGGGCTTTTTGTCATTGACTGGTTGCTTGGTTAATGTTTTTAAGTCAGTTTACATGACTCCAAGTTTGGTTTCTGTTTGCTTAGGCAAGACCTCAGGCGAACGGTTTCTTCCTTTTTTGCTTTAATGTATCAGAACCATAATTCATTTTCCTTTTACTTCACTGACATTAATAACAGTAAGTTCATAGTTTTGTTGTCATTCAGAAAGTTGGTTTAATTGGCAACCTATTTGTGATGGTGCATAAAATAATGTCTGTTAATCATTAGCAACTTAGATGAAATATGTTAACTCTATTAAGCTTTGTTATTAAACCGTAACAGGAGTTCAGTTTCTTTTTTTCTCCTAGGTTTTAACCATTTAAAACCAGTCACGCGGCCGGGCACAGTGGCTTACGCCTGTAATCCCAGCACTTTGGGAGGCCGAGGCGGGTGGATCACTAGGTCAAGAGATTGAGACCATCCTGGTCAACGTGGTGAAACCCCGTCTCTACTAAAAAAACAAAAATTAGCTGGGCATGGTGGTGTGCACCTGTAGTCCCAGCTACTCGGGAGGCTGAGGGAGAATTGCCTGAACCCAGGAGGCGGAGGTTGCAGTGAGCAAAGATCACGCCATTGCTCTCCAGCCTGGGTAAACAAGAGCAAAACTCCGTCTCAAACAGAAAACAAACAAACAAAAAACATAGTCACGCATCTCCTAATGATGTGGATACTTTCTGAGAAATTTGTCCTTAGTGATTTCATCTTTGTGTGAATACCATGGAGTGTTTTTATAAAACCTAGACAATATAGCCCACTCCACATGTAAGTGATACGGTATAGCTTATTGCTCCCAGGCTACATACCTGTATAGCACATCTCTGTACTGAATGCTCTAGTCAACTGTCACACCATGGTGATTGTGGATTGTGATCCCAAAATATCTGAGTCAGGTCTCAGTCAATTAGAAAGCTTATTTCACCAAGGTTAAGGACATGCCCATGACACAGCCTCAGGAGGTACTGACAACATGGGCCCAAGATGGTCAGGGTAGAGCTTGCTTTTATATATTTTCTAGAGACATGAGACACTGATCAATATGTGTAAGATGTAAAGTCGTTTGGTTCAGTAAGGTGGAAAAACTAGAAGTAGGAAGGCAGGGTGGGGGGTGGTTCCAGGTCAGAAATAGATAAAACAAAAGGTTGCATTGTTTTGAATCCTTGATCAGCCATCCACTGAATACAATTCAGTCTGGTTCAGTGAATTTGCATTTTTACATATACAATAGGGCAGAGGAATGGTGTGATCTTGGCCCACCACAAACCTCCACCTCCCTGGTTCAAGCGATTGTCTTGTGGCATCCTCCCGAGTAGCTTGGATTATGGGCATGCACCACCATGCCTAGGTAATTTTTGTGTTCTTCATAGAGATGGGTTTCTCCATGTTTGTGAAGCTGGTCTTGAGCTCCCAACCTCACGTGATCCACCTGCTTTGGCCTCCCAAAGTGTTGGGATTACAGGCATGAGCCACCATGCCTTGTCAGGAGGCTTATTTTGATTCCGATATTGTCAACTCTATTTCAGGCATAGCTTGTTTTCCTTGGAGTGTTAAATACTGCTTTGGTATTGTATTACACAAATAAAACACAGATCCTTTTTTATCATATTTGTTGCTAGTGATACTGACATCTAAATTTACAAACATTCCAGAGTATGGGCTTCCAGTAAATCTTTGTGATCCTCTAAAAGGTAAATTATTTTTTCTCACAAGACAGAGTGATATCTGAAGTTACATTGAATGTCCTGACACTTTTGTTTCTCTAGTTTCGTTGATTGCTTCAAAGCATCTTTGGGGAAATAACTTTGACTATTCCTTTAAACTCTTCTGTATTAGAAGGCATCCTGATGAATCACTGAATAATTGTGGTCACAAATTTTATTTACAGTCTTCCTGTCTTTGAGTATTTTTTTGTAATGGCAAAGATTTGCTTTTGTTGTATTGATGCTAAAAGGAATGCTGGGAAACAAAGCAAAGACCCGCATTCATTAGAATAAGTGATTCAGTCACAATCAATTGCTATTTTAATTTTTTTAAAAGTTATGCTTTTGAAAACATCCAACTGTAAATTGAAATGGTCTCCAAAGTATGAATTCTTATTTTATGCTTCATACGTGAACTTCATAATTCAATGAAAAGGCAGTATTTATTAGCTATTTCATACATCTTCTCTGAAAAGTTCTCAATTCTTGTCACTGAAGCTTGTAAGCAACGGTTCCTCAAGTGGACTTGCTGCTGGACAGATTGATGATGTTCCCTTTTCTTTCCAGATGCCTGAAACTTCCGCCCAGAGAGTGGAGTTGCTTGCTGTTCAACATGTGCTCTCCACTTGTGGTCAATCAGTTAACATATACTCTGACAGTCAATATGTAGTTAACTTGATTAATCTGCTGGAGACAGCACCCTTGTCATTTTCTGACAGCTCTGCCATAATACACCTACTTCTTCCTTTACAGCAGATTATCCGCAAGCTGATTCATCAATTTTTTATTGGCCATATTCGTGCACATACTAACAAGGCTCACGTAGCCTGCAGCTGCAGTTTCACATCACCAGAGAACAGGCTCGTGCCATTGTTAAGCAATGCCCTGCTTGTGTGACTCACTTGCCTCAAACTGCACACACTAGAGTAAACCCTCGTGGCCTACAGCCTGGCCACATCTTTCAGATGGATGTCACTCATATTGCTTCTTTTGGTCATTTAAAATATGTGCATGTAACTATTGACACCTTTTCTCATTTCATAATAGCTTCAGCCCATACAGGAGAGGCAGTCAAGGACGTGACTGCTCATTGTCTACTCGTGTTCTCCAGCCTAGGTGCACCAATGATTTTGAAGACTGATCATGCTCCAGCTTCCACCAGCTCTTCATTCCAAACCTTTTGCTCTCAATTCCAGGTGCTCCATAAAACAGGAATTCCCTATAATCCTCAGGGACAGGGAATTGTTGAACGTGCTCATGCCACCCTTAAAACTTTATTACTTAAACTAAATAATTCACCTCCTTCATTTTACAAGTCTCCACATGATGTACTTCGGAATGCTCTTTATGTTCTAAATTTTTTAACCCTTGATGCCCAAGGCCACTCAGCAGCTGATCGTTTCTGGCACCCAAGGGACTCAGCCACGCCTATGGTGTTTTGGAAAGATTTATTCTCTAATCAGTGGAATGGCCCTGACCCAGTGTCAGTTTGGGGCAGAGGTCACGTTTGTGTTTTTTCTAGATCTGCCCCCTCGCCTATCTGGGTACCTGAACGACATGTCAAGCATGCCCAAAAGAAGACAGTCACCCCCAAGACCAGTGACCGTCCCATCTCCCTGTCAGCCTTGCCCTCAGATGACTTCACCAAACTCCTTTCTCTCAAGAATTCGACGTCTACATCTGCAGAGGACAACGCCTCGCCGTGCCTGTCGCCCTCAGCACCAGCCAGCACCTCCTCAAGAAGTTCCAGTCCCGACCTGGACCCAGATGCAATGCATGGTGACTGATGCGTCGCACATTGTTTGTCAGCAAGGACACTCTTTTAATGCAGCTACTCTGTTTTTAGCCATGCTAGATGTTTTATCTTGTGATCCTATGTTGGCACGTCCTGTGTCCACCTGTGATTCTCCTGACGCTTTTTGGGCATATGTTCCTGATCCTCCTTTACTCTGACATGTTACTTGGGATGACCCTGCCTTTACTGTCATCCTTAACGACACCTCAATATTTGGCACCCCTTCAGCCACTCACATCTATCCTCAATTAGCAAATTACACCTTCCTTGGTCAATCCATTTCTCCTCCTATGTGTTTCCATGCTGCCAAACTGTATTCCATGCCTTTTTATATAGAGGATCCACACACACCTGTTACTACTGGTCAGCCTTCACCCTCCTATTGCTTCAATTTAGGCATTCGCTGTTCCTTTGCTCATAGCGGCCTTGGACCTCCACTCAAGGTTACTTCCGAATTTGCTGAAAATTGGGTTGCATCCTATATGGGACTCAGGGAATCGTCAGAAGTTACTCCTGCTAAATTGCCTAAATATGACCAGCAACATTGCTTTAAGACCAACAAATCTCTTGACCCTGCCCCTGCCTGGCGCCCTTGTTTTTCCTCTTCAGCTCATGCTCTCCACTCCCACCTAGTTACAGGGTTTTCTCTTTATGATTGGTCTGTATGGTCTCCTCTTCTTTCTGGCCTCCATTGATATGTAACCACCGGAGCATGGAATACTCCTCTATATACCACAGCCTCTGGCAAAACCTATTCCTCTTTGTGGATGCTTTTTCTAGCTCTTCATCCTCCTAGAGTCTATGCAGGCCACGAAAGCAAAATTGCTAAGCCTGTACAAACCTTCTCCATTCGTTCTTGCGTAGCCGCTCCCTATGTCTTTTTGCTCGGAAAAGTGTCCTTTCATGTTCAAAATGGTTATTATACTATTTCCTGTTTGGATTGCAAACTCACAAATTGTATTGATGCTTCCATGTTCCCTGTTGATACAATTCTTATTGTTCATCAACCCCCTTATGTTATGCTCCCAGTAAATATTTCAGGTCCTTGGTATGATGAGCACTCATACTCTCCGTTCTACAAAACCCAATCTCTGTTCATTCGACGCCAAAAATGTTTCCTTGGTATGCTCATTGCTGGAATTGTTGCCATTGTGTCTGTGATAGCTTCTACAGCTACAGCTGCTGTCAGTCTTACTCAATCTGTTAATACTGCTGTATATGTAAATCATTTAGCCAAAAATGTTTCTATTTCTATGGGAACCCAAATGTCTATTGATGATAAATTAGAAGCAAAACTGAATGCCTTAGAGCAAACTGTAACCATACTAGGGGACAAAGTGTATAACTTACAAAATAGACTTTCACTTCGCTGTCATGCTCATTATAAATATATATGCGTTACCAGCGCTCCTTACAATGGTTCCCAGTGGCAATGGCCACTTATCAAGGCCCATTTACAAGGCATCTGGTCTCATAACAGTCTCTCTCTTGACATCTCACATTTGCAGCAAGAAATTTCGGCCATTGACCTTTCTCAGTCACAACTACCTGATGATGACTCTATTGCTCACAGTTTTGTAGATGCCATGTCCTCTTGGGTGCAACAGTTTCATATCCCCTCCCTTTCATCACTGCTTGCCATTGCTGCTTGTTTTCTTGTATTGCTGCTGTGCTTGCCATGTGCCTTCCGCCTCTTGTTCTCCACCCTCCGAGAAGTGCAATTGAAGGTGTTTGCCCTTCATTTGCAAAGTAAAAAACCGGGAAATGGCAGCGTTCATGCCAAGGGCTTGAGACAGTAGCTGTCTCGCTCCAACTTGGTTGCTGGACCTGTGCTGCTCTACCCCCGCTCTCGAGGGCTATCGAGTCAAGGCAAGAATGGCTAAGCCACTGAGGCAAAAACAGAATGCAGAGTAATGGCCTGCGGTTTGTGAGGACATTGTGCTGACTGCTTTATATCCCCCTTAGTCTCTGTGTAAGCAATAGGCTTGCTGCAATTGAGGTGCCTGAGAGGGGCAAGAGACCCCTGCCCATATTCTCTCAGGAGCTGAGCCTTTGCTCTACCTCCTGATGGAAAGCATAATTAACAAGCCACCTTAAGGGAACCATTGTTTGTTTGCACTGTGTATCTTTGAAAAACGTATATTAACTCTTGAACTGCTTTGTAAGCTATTATCACAAGCCCCCTTGAAAATGCTTTGTGAGCTGTTATCACAGGCCCCGATAACTATTTTTATGTGATTTCTGTTCCCTTTTCTGTTTGCCCCCTTTTTCTGCTGAGCTAAAGTAAATGTAACAAGAGAAAAGGTATAAAAGCTGTAACCTACAAAAATAAAGTGCTGTGTGCTGCTTGACTGCATGCAGACCTCCAGACTCTACTTTCCTGTATTCTTTCTTTTCCGCACGCTCTCTCCCTCACGTTGAATGAGACATCTATGTTGGTGGTCTCGGGGACTCCCGCGGGTCGGTAGGCCCCCTGGCAGACGTGCTGGACCCCGACAGGGTACTTTATTCAAAAAAGGTTTAATGGACTCACAGTTGCACCTGGCTGGGGAGGCCTCATAATCATGGCAGAAAGTAAAAGGGACATCTTACATGGTGGCAGATGAGAGAGAAATGAGAAACAAGCAAAAGGGCTTTCCTCTTATAGAACCATCAGCTCTTGTGAGACTTTTTCACTATCACAAGAACAGTATGGGGGAAACTGTCACTATGATTTAATTCTCTCCCACAAGGTCCCTCCCACAACACGTGGGAATTCTGGGAGCTACAATTCAAGAAGAGATTTGGGTGAGGACACAGCCAAACCATATCACGGATTATAGTAATGTTCTTTATTTGATAGAGTTTTGGGTTACACATATGTATACTTTTGTCAAAATTCGGTAAATACATACTTAAAATTTTTGCATTTCATCGTTTGTAAACTTTACACCAAAAGGAAAAAAACGTACCAAATTCTAGTTAATGCACGTTGAGTTACTGATGTCTGCAATTTACTTTAAAATGCCTAAAAACTATAATGGATTGCTGGATGGATGGAAAGATGGATCTATGGATGGACATGAGATAAAACAAGTCTCCAAGTTGGTGAAGATACAGTTAAAGTGTTCACTGTAAAGTTTTTTCAACTTTGCTGTACGTTCATAAATGTTCATAATAAAATGTCAACGAAAACAATTTTCATCCCTCCTCCTCTGTGACAGCCTCAGCCTGAGAAACCCACAGTGGGAAGGGAAAGGAGGGCAGTGTGTTTGGTTATAACCATCCACCCTCACTCCTTAGCAGTGGTTTCTGGCTCTTGTAGGGTTGGCTAGGGGCAGAGAGAAAGGAGAGACTGAGGAACAGATAGGGCCTTATTGAATAGTTCAGCTGTATTATGGTGTCACATTTTAGGAGCAGGCATGCAGTTTTTGGCCCTTTCTCATGGGTTCCTGAGAAATTCTCCTGGTAGGGATCTCTGACAGCAGTTCACTACCTCAGGTAATGCATTTTCTAGGAAGCCACTAAGAGCCCTCCTACCATCTGCCTCTGGGGGTCCTGGGCAGCCTCTTCCTAACCCCTGGCAGGAAGCTTTTCAGGGCAGCGTCCTCCTTAAAATCAATGGTTTTCTCTATTATGAAATTTCTATTTGGCCCATAGAAAGCATGCACACACCTTTGTTTGGCTTAACTTGAAGTACGGGCCACTCCCAGCTCCGATCTTTATCGTTTCTATCTGCCCCATTATTTCAACTTGGCCACAGCCTTTTGCCTTTGGATTTTATTCAGATGGGTTAGCAGTTCCCGAGTTCTCCAGCCTTCAGGGACGTGAGCTAATCAGTTTGAATGGTTAATTAGAAGTTCCTGTTCAGGCAGCTCATTAGCTTTAAAATGAAGCAGAAGCATTCTCCCATCCATGAGAATTGGGTGAGGAGGGAGTTCATACAGCACACAACCCTTTCAAAAGTCTTCAGTGTAATTTAAAAAAAATGCCCAGCGTGGTGGCTCACATCTGTAATCCCAGTACTTTGGGCAGCTCAGGTAGGCAGATCATAAGGTCAGGCTTTGGAGACTACCCTGGCAAACATGGGGAGACCTTGTCTCTACTAAAAATTCAAAAATTAGCTGAGTGTAGTGGTGGGCCCCTGTAATTCCAGCTACTCAGGAGGCTTAGGCAGGAAAATCACTTCAACCTGAGAGGCAGAAGTTGTAGTGAGCCGAGATCATGCCACTGCACTCCAGCCTCGGGAACAGAGCAAGACTCTGTCTTAAAAAAGAGAATTTTTAGTCCTGTCCTATAAAGGTAAGAGGTAGATAATAACCTATTCTGGCAAAACTGGTTCTTGCCCACACCGTTTGAAAAGTCTAGAACCTGATTGTAAATGAAAGGATTCTTGACAACTACTGTTTGGCGCTTGATCTTTGACTCCAATGCCAAACTTGGAGAAGACAGCATGTTTCCACTGTTCTGAAAACAGTAGCTAATCTGTGCTTCCCTTTGCTGTCTCGAGTATAGTAAAACATTTATGAGGTACAGAGGCTTGCAGAAAAGTATTTTAGAAGTGGAGTCAGAACTCTACTGTGGAAAGGGGGCTGAGAGAATCATGAATCCGATTCCTTCTCTTGCCAGAGGAGACTCAGATTTGTGATGTGGCTTCTCTGGGTAAACATGAGTAAGTAACAGAAGAGATCAGTAAAACTCTGGTCCACTGCTTAGAAATTAGTGTTTTATGACCTCCCCTCTGCCAGGGAAATAAGCATGAAGACAGCGCTTTTCCTCCCACTATTTCTAAAACTCAGATGAGCAGGTGTTCTATTGCTCCACGTGGTGTGCTTTTGAACTGAGAGGGACTGAGCACGGAGAAGCCAGAGTAGCTCTGCCCCCACCCCGGGCCACCTGAAACTCATCATGCTGCTTTCTTTGGAGCGGCTGCCAATTTAAAAGAAGACTTAAGGGGTTTCATTTGGCTCTGTGATTCTGCTGGAAGGAGGCCTGAGTAAGGTTGAGCTGAGGTTGCAGAGGAAAGGGGCCGTTTGTCCCATAACCCGAACAAAACAGAACTATGATGAAGCAGCATTGTCCATCTGAGGTAATACCCAAGGTACGTTGCCTCATGTCAAGAAAATCAAGGACGTGAATACACATGGAGTGAGGTTAAGAATGGAGGTTTTACAGGCAAAAGAAGAAAAGAGAACCTCTCTCTCTTCTGCAGAGAGAGAGGGGCTTCTGAGTGTGTTTTCTGGTTTTCTGGTGAACTGCACAAGGTTTTATAGACTTGTTGAGGAGGTGGTGTTTGATTTACATAGGGTCCAAATATGGGTTGGACCAGGTGAGAGCTTTACATAGCTCGTGAAGAAGCTGGCTATCCACCCGAATCTTCTTATGCATATAGGTTTTCTACTTGGCCAGTGCATGTTGTCTGTCCCTTACTGAACTTGTGGTTGATAAAGAAAAAGGAAGATAAAGCCATCAGGTTGAGCATGCCTGGCACCCAAGTAGCCTTCTATTGTTACAGCTGCTGGCATTCGCCTGTGCAAGCTTCCAGCTTGCTTGTCTATGTCTGCAGCTCGATTTTACAGGCCGCTCTTTGTTAGAAATGGTTTTGGGGCTGTTTTTTATTCAAAGGGAAACCTTACCAAAGACTTCCTTACCCTCAATCTCTGACTAAATAATTTCTTTAGAACTTCTGTATCAATGGGACTTCTGGATTACAGTTGAAGTAGTTTTGGCTGATCATCAACTCTGCCTCCACTTAATAGTGAATGCTTTTATTTTCTGTTTCAAGGAGGGTCTCTTTGCTTCTTGCCCTTCAGAATAGCAGTGTAGAAATTGCATTTAGAACACTTGTTGGGCACAGTGGCTCACACCTGTAATCCTAGAAATTTAGGAGGCTAATATGGGAAAATTGCTTCAGGCCAGGAATTTGAGAGCAGTCTGGGCAACATAGCGGTAACTTATCTCTTAAAAAAAAAAATTACTGGGTGTGGGGATGCACACCTGCTGCCCTGTTGGCCCAGCTGCTGTCAGGAGGCCATGGCAGGAAGGTCACTTGAGCTCAGAAGTTTGGGGCTGCAGTGAGCTATGGTCATGCCACTGTACTCCAGCCTGGGTGACTCCATCTCTTAAAAAACACAACAAAAACCAACAAAAGCCCACTTCCTATCTGGAATGGGAACTGGTAGAGCCTTATGACAGTGAGTGACTCAGAGGCAGAGAAAACGTTTGGCCACAGCTTTAATGGTGCAATTTGAACCTTGTGTTTGTCCTACTGACCAAGGCTGTGGCTGTCTTAGGGTCCTCCATATGGTCTGGCCTTGGAGGAGAAGAAACTGTTCTTGTTCAACACTTTCTGTTTGTGGAGCCCAAGATAAGAACTTTGTGTTTGTTTCACAGATGAGAGGGTGCTAAATAGCTTGCTTAGAATCACACAAGTCAGAGGTAGGAGGGCCACGTTCTTTAACCAGTTTGTGAGTAGATGTCTTCCCAAGAACGTACAGCTGATGGCATAATGCTGACCTTAAGCCTAGGTTAATCAAATTGATGTTTAATGAAAAGCAATAGATTTCCTCCTGTAGCCCAAGAAAGAGCCACTTGACTACAGCTAATCAGTGAGAGAAATACCTCTATCAAAGGAATAGGTGATCAGAATTCATGGGCAGCAATGGGACATAGGAATGTGGAAATGAGAGGTGTGGGCTCCAGGGATGCTGGAGAAAACTCCTCCTCCAGTATTCCCTAACTCTCGAATGCTGCTGTCTTTTCAATACAAATACAAACCCACTCTGTTGTTTTGCACTGCCCCGTGCCCTGAATCTGTTGTTTGTGGACTGTATCCTCCAGTAACTTATTCAAGCAAGGATACACTGAAGCAAATTGTTCTGAAATATGACTTTATTTCTTCTTACACTTACATGACTGGTGGGGCATAGAATTTTTGATTGAAAATAATTTCCCATTCAAGTTTTGAAGATACTACTCCATTATTTCCCAGCTTCTGGTAGTGCTGTTGAGAAGCCTGAAATCATTCTGATTTTTGATTCTTTGTAAATACTGTTTCTTAAAAACTTTTCTGAAACTTAGGAGAGCTGTTTTCCTTTGTCATATATTGCAGATTTTCAAGACAATGTTCCTTGGTGTGAGTTTGTGTTCATGTGTTTAAACCTAGGAGGTTATGTTATTCAGCTTGAGAAGTTGCCTTTTTTTTAACTTTTATTTAAGTTCAAAGGTTCAAGCACAGGTTTGTTATTTAGGTAAAGTCTGTCATGAGGTTTGTTGTACAGATCATTTCATTACTCCGGTATTAAGCCTAGTCCCATTTAGTTGTTTTTCCTGATCTTCTTCTTCCTTCTCTCATTCTCCACTCTCTGAAAGGCTCTAGTGTGTG